ATGTTATCTTATAGTCTGCCAGCTGTACATTCGAGCTCAACATGCGATTGGAGGCATTGTGAAGGTCCCGGCTTTGAATGAGAAGGCAGACATGGAGGGCATACCAAGGGACTGGTACAGGAAGGAGCATTTGGATGTACAGCGCCCAACGTTCTATGAGGTTTCGGATGGAGGCTTCGTAGTTCTCCGCATGGCGTATGGAGTGTCTGCCGATGTTGAGCTGCTGGCGGTGAAGGTGGAATCTTTCGAGACTGTGTATCTCTGCGCCGCCCCCTCGCCAGCTCCCAAAGGCATCCGGTACTTTGCCATCCGTATAATGGAAGAGTGGGATATAGAATCTCCTCAACGTTATCATTTTGTATACAGCGACAAATCTGCTAAGGACAGTCTGGACTTGTTGCGGGCGACGTTCCCCGTTCGGAATCCTTTCAAGCCACCCAACATGGATGCCTTGTTCCTCAGTGAATCCCCTAGCAGAAGATGTCGAGCGGGTAGAGGGTGGTGAGCCAGCGGACAAGGAGACTGATATGGGTGTTTCAGTCGCTATGGCATTGAGCCGTCTTGGTTGTATTGTCTGAGCAGCGCTGTGTACGTCACATATGTCGAGTGTTGTGTGTTGTGCTATGTAACATTGTCGAATACGAGATCTGAACACATCTTGCCCCAGGCAATCATATGCACCTCTTCAAACAGCCTGAGTGAGCGCGAAGTTCTTTAGCCCCAATGATTACAACCATGTTCCATCTCGAGGAGGGGAGGGGGAGGCAAGACTGGAGGGACATGCCAGTTTCATCGCTCTTAATATAAGCCAGCGCATGCCTCATAATGAACAGGATCAGTCGTATCTAAATGGGTATCTCTCTAGATGGATCCGAAGAATTTCCCGTTGGTTAAAGAGAAGAACGCAGAATATTCCTTACTGCTGTACTCGCCTCCGATCATCGCCTTCTATTTCATAATTAGCACTTTACTACGTCACTCCCACTCTGTCGTCACCCGGCAGGACGTGGTTCTAATCAGAGCTTCCTTGGAATTTCCACTCAAGGATGGGCGAATATCACCAAACTGCGCATGGACTTAAAATAGCCACATGTCAGAGGTGAAAGGAGAGCCTATTCTGGACTGTTGACACAGGCAAGAGTGCGTGTATGTATACCTGGTTGCCGGCTTGGACATTCCAGCTGAGCTGGGTAGTCCCGGTCTGCGTACCTGCAGCCTTGGGGTCTGGATGACCCATTATGCAATATTGTCTTGTGGAGTCGGTCACTGTCGGTCAGGTCACCGTAAGCGCCCAGCAGGAATATTGGCTAGATTTTCATGCGTCAAAAGGCTGACCAACAGGTTAAGGTCAGAGGCACAGCCCTGCCGAAGCGCGCGATATCGGAAAGGTCGGAAAGGAGGAAGAAGGCTGGCAGGGGTCCTCGGACTGCCAAGCCCGGTCTTGGCGGTCTTGGAACGGAAGGAGATTGGCGGGGTTCGGGGGGCTTGGCGGAAGAAGAAAGGGGCAGAAAGGGGATAATTACGAGTAGTGTTGGCACTAATATTGTTCATGAGGGCGATAGTGTTTTAATAGTGAGGATCATGGTTATTTACCATATTAGGATTAATATCCTTAATAAGAATAAGTGAGCATGTGGCTACAAGAATGACTGCGGATAAGGTAAGCGATGATCCAGGGACATTAGCCTCCGTGCCAAGCCATGATTCACCGTTCGATCAAATTGCCAAGTGCTTGGCACGGCTTGGCAAAGTCTCACGCGGCTTCATATACAGTCCAACGGCGCATGAATTACACATGACATCCCATACACAATGTCCACCATCTCCTCGTCGTCTCCTCCTCAACGTCGACAACAGTCTGCAAAGTCGTCTTCACCGTCTCCACCGACGACAATGAACAAGCAGTCGGCGTCCCCTACTCTCCCTGCACCAGCACCACCAGGCCACACATGCATGTGGGAGAACTGCTCACACCGCGCTGCAGACCCAGAGCTGCTCTATATCCACCTCTGCAACGACCACATCGGACGCAAGTCTACTGGAAATCTCTGCCTCACATGCAAGTGGAAAGACTGCGGAGTCTCCTGTGCAAAGAGGGACCATATCACTAGCCATCTGAGAGTGCACACGCCGCTCAAACCACATACGTGTGATGTACGCACCATCTTTTCATCTTTAAGAGCATATCTCACCCTGCGCAGATCTGCAACAAAGCCTTCAAGAGGCCTCAAGATCTCAAGAAACACGAAAAGATCCACACAGCAGAGCATCATACAGCACACAAGCACTCCAAGGCCCAGCTCGCACCTGGCACGCTCCTCCCACACACTGGGATCTCACCTCACAGCTCTGCCTCCCTATCCCCCGATGTCGGGATAGGTGGCACTCCTCCCCGCGCAGACGGGCTGCCCTCTGTACGCCGTTCGCCCCAGCAAGCCCAGTGTGCGTCCCCCAACCCTGTCCACTGTATCTGACTCACGCTAACGAGTAGCATATGCATTCCTCTCCTCCCAATCCAACCAATCCCAATACCTCTCTCTCCCGTCAACGATGCCCCTCTCGCACTCGCCTTCCCTCTCACCCCACTCGCCCGGCCTCCTCACACCCACGAACCTCTCGCCCTACCCAGTTCACCAGTCAAACAATGGCTACGCCGCCGCACCTCCCCTGTCAACCGGAATGAGGAACTATGATGAGCGGGAGAACAAGCGGATGAACGACGGTCTCGAGGATTTCTTCAGCGACGCTAAGCGCAGGCGGTACGCGACCGCACACGATACTAGCGGGAACATGTACGACGCTGCTATGGCTGCGCGGTTGAATGAGCTCTCGCCGAGCTTTCTCCAGTCGCAGCAAGGACAACAGATTGGGTTTCACCAGGCCCTGAACACTGCTGTGCAGAACGAGAACGATCTGGCGCAGATCAATGGCGCCCTTCTGCAGCTGCACAAGGCTATCTCGTCGAACGGATACGACTCGCACGACATGTCGAACGACACCGACCTGCTTTCTGATCAGGAGCTCGCCGCCCTAGGGCTTGCGGGCATGCCAGGTATAAACGTCAACAGTTACAACGAATCGAACAACGCTCCCTACACCGTCCACTCGCAGTATGCGATGCCGGCTCCCGCGCACCAGACTGCCCAGCGGTATCAATCAATGCCGCAGGCTGCTCCCGCCCACCACTCGCCGGGGCATCAACAGTACCCCTTCTCTTCTTACCCCCAGTTAGTTCCCCAGCTGAGCTCAGACATGCCCGGTGGAATGGGCGGTGTGCGCACACAAAGGATCCCTAGGCTCAAAGAAGCCCCCCTTTCACCGAGCGCGATGGACCTCACCCTCTCTCCCTCCCGCTCCCCCTGTCCTCCCCTGCGCCACTCTAGGAGGGTATACGAAGACCCCTCGCTCAAGCTGCCCGCTATCAGCAACCTGGCAAGTCCGGCAACAAGCAGGCCTTCTACGTCCTCTGGACTCAGGGACCTGCCCAGTATCGGCAACCTGAATATTAGCGAGAGGGAGGCGAGGGCATTACCGACAAGGTTGTACCCCCGGCTCCCGCCGCTATCCTCCATTTTGGCAGCTCCAGTAAGGGGCTACCGGCCGACTTCGAGCCCACCTTCCTCCAGCGTGAGTGGTGGTGCATCCCCCTTGGCCTCCGTAGGAGAACGAAAAAGGCACGCCAAGCTTGTCAAGGACCTGTTGGTCGCTGTGAACCGGCAGTGGCTAGAACGGGAAGCGCAGAGGGAGAGGGATGTGGAGATGAGTTCATAACCCTGCTCTTCGCCCATTCCCCTCAAGAATCGCAAATACTTCTGAAGCACATCTCGCATTTGGCATATAGTATAACAACCCCGCAACAAAGTGGGCTTTTGGTTTACGTCTTTTGTTCTTCTTTTCTTTTACTGACATTCTTCGTTCAACATTTGTTTGTTTTTGTTGAGATCTGTATGCCGTGGACTGGGCACCGGGGATCGGGTGTAATCGTACGCGAGAATGGAATATTGTACGAATAGAAACGCACATATGCCCCCATGCCCTGAAATCTGTTCTAGTTGGCTGGACGATACCAACGTGGAATTTGACAAGAAGATCGGTTCCCCTGAAGTGTGTGCCAATAACCACAAAGACCGTCAAAGATTGTCAAAGAAGATAAAAGAAGACGCACAGCCTTTGGTAACTCTAACGCCGTCTTCCATTCGCCGTTTTCCTTGCCCAGGAACTGAATACGACCCGGGGCGAGTCACGATGGAGCAACATCCGTCGCTGCGCTTTTACGGATGGGCGAGAAAGCGGGCTGAGGGTTTCGTCTCGTTTCTCGTGACGACAACTTCCAGGAGGGAAAATTGCTACCGCGGCGTCACGGCTCGACAGCTCCTTCTCTGCAATTTGCGCGCCGTCCAACGAATTTAGCACTCTCAACCTCTCAATTTAAGAGCCAGATAGATCCCTCCTCTTCCTCGAGCAGAAAACGTAGGCGCTCGCCCTCTCGTCGCAAGCCGATTTGCCCTCCGGCAGAAGACGACGGAGAGGTCACTTTTCTCGGTGCGAGATCCGAGTATCGTAGACCGGTGAGAGTGCCAGTGGTGGATCTGACGACGCCGAGGAGACGTGAGTTGTTGATGTTCCCCTGCTTTTGGTTGACGCTGAAGGGGTGTAGGTCGGGAGATTCGGCCGGAGAGGGTGATCGACCTCTCCCGGAGCTCGGTTGACGTAGTAGAGGAGGAACAAGTCAGGAGACCAGCACCAAAACGGCTTGTAAGCGCGCATATCTGCGACTCTGACGTCGGGTCTGATGGTGTATATAGAGAACGTCAAGTGTTCGGCGAGAGAGAAGCGTTATCGTCGTCAGCAGCAGCAGTGATGATGAGCCCCCTCCTCCGCCAAGACGTCGTCCCTGGGTGCCTACAGCGGCGACAGTACACCGCAACTCCCACACGCCAGACCGGTCAGTCCCGCCTCGGTCCAACAATGTTGTTGCCCGTGCGCATAGTCTGCGAACACCGACCGGCACTCCTGCGGCTATTGCACATACCCGACGGTCGGTGATCCATCGAAACCTGAGCCAGATGACGCGGGCGAAAATATGCATATGGACGACATCGCTGAAGATGAGGAGGATGCGCCTGAGGATGGCAATGTAGGAACTGTCGACGATATTACATGTGACGAGATTCGATCTAAGGCTACTAACCGACCCAAGATCGAACATTCCGATGATGTCTTACCTGATCAGGAGGTCAAAGTTGAACCTGACGATGAATCTGACAAGGACGATTTTTACCAACGGGAAGGTTCGCCTGTAACCGATTACTACACGGACGCCCCTCCGAAGGAAGAGATTGAGCCCGATTAAGAAGTTATAACCGACCGAGGGGACGTACCCAACGACGAAACGACTATCAGATTCGCTTCTATGACGATGTGGGAAACTGTCGATCATACTATCGAGCGGAAACCCTGTGTGCATCCTGAACTCTCGCAACCATCCACGCATGCGACTGCCACTTCCTCCGACGGAACCACGATTCTCCCCAAAGGACAGCGCCCCTTGACGGCTCTGAGAGAGACGGGCGCGGAAGCTCGATTGCGCCGTCTCTCACGGCATCCCAAGTAGCAAGAGGCGACGCGAGACACACAGACACTTCTTCTCCTGCACAGTTGACTGTCAGACACTCTCCCACTGATGTTGGGCCAGTTGCTCGAGGCGCGTCTATCGGCTTCTACTCAACGGATACCGCTGCCCTTCTCAACAAGGCTGGAACTTCTTATGGTCCCCACACACACGCAGGCCCTGCGCAGGCCCGGAATGACCTTGAACGCGGGCGATCACAAGTACGGGATCTACAAGCGATTCTCAATGGGGCTGCTGCTTCGTATGGCTCTGAGAGCACCTCTGGGCATCATCACAGCTCAAGCCAAGAACCATTGGTCCCGCCTCCTGTTGTCGCAAGATCTATTGAAGAAGAGCAGCAGGCAGAGTCGAAGAGCGATGCTGAAGATCATGCGGGCAGTGAGTCGCTTGCGCCTCATGTTGTCCCTCCGAGTTCTCAAGTATCGAAGCGCGGTATTGCGAGACAGATTGTTGAACACGCGGTGGCCCAACACGTTCAAAACGACACCCATGAAGTGCCTATCGAGGTCTTGCCTGAGAAGGAGGAAGAATCGGACGATGAAGGCAACACAGATTCCAATTCACGTGACAATGGAACCCCCACGGACTCTGATGAGCCAGAAGATGACGAACTAGCTGATGACGACCGACAGGCCAGCTGCCAACTTACCCCGAGCCTCTGTCTCCGATGGACCTTCGACTCATCGTCCTCGTTCTGTCAGGACCACGCAGTCTCCTGCATACAAACATGAAGAAGAGCTCCCTACTACAGGTCGGGCATCTGCCACGAGCGAAACCACACAACCAGGGAACACTCTGCATAGCGTTCCTCCTGTCAGGCCACTGGAAGAAGTCGTTGCACAGGCCCGGATGACAGCTTTGGCACCAACTCTCAGATTCTTCCAATCACCCCGTCATGCTCACCAAGAGGAGATCGTCACTTGGGTATGTCTTGGCTGTGGCCATGACAATACGGATAAGCAGAGGACCTGCCTCGTATGCGAAAGTAAACGTATGCGTCAACCCAGCGTTGCAAACCCAATGCCTTGCTTGAGCTTGTGCCCCGCAGGTCCATTCACCGATGCACATGCATACGTGATCCATATGCGACATTGCAAGCATGACGCTAGGACGAAGGTTGAGTATTCGGAAACATCTGGGCACCAACCAATGGGAAGAGCTTCGCATCGATCAAGAACGACATAGCCAGGAACTGGATACGACTGATGCTATATAGCCGTCGCCTTCATCCTGGATTGATTATGGTGCTTACCCTGGCTTATATGGAAAGTAAGGCTGGTCCCTCCTTCTGTATCGCCTCGTGCTGGAGATGGAACCTTGCTGTAACCATTGGCCTGCATGCGCGATTAAATCGGAATCTACGGGACGATGGGACGGTGAAGGCATCTAGTGAACAGATTCGACTCCGATCTATCGCGGATCAGGGGGGATCAGATCAGGAGACGATTTGGAATCGTTCGTCGGATCTCTGGGTTGTATACGAAGCGAGGCAGTTCTGTGCTGGAATTCCGGAGGGGTGCATGATTGCCTAGGTCAAATGTTCACATCTAATAGTCGACAATGTCACATACTCTGGATATGTATTGCATAATTGGTTTCTGCATCCATTGGTGGTCTCTGTGCGTGTTATGGTAAACGTTCGTACTCCTTCTCTCTAGTTCCGCTCTCCAACTACGTACGACGACCCACCGATCCCTTTCCTCCCTCTCCCTTTAGTGAACTCTCGATCGCTCCTTCAATGGATATATAGATACACATCACCAGGTTCCTACGTCATCGGACGTCATGAGACCCTGTTCCCCTGTTACGGAAGTAAACCTCACCGTTCTCCCACGAACAGTCGTGAGACTCCTAGGCTGGGCACTATGAAGGTACTTATATGCCTTGGCTCGGGGCTGGACAGGGCCTATCTCTCCGCTACTGGGTCCCTCTGAGCCTCACCCGTTTACTACTTGCGATAACGATAACAGTATCAACATATGTATTCAGAGAACGAGTACGTTACATATATGCAAGGAGGGGGGTATGGCTGACCTCTTGACTGACAGGCACAAGCCGCAGGCCGAGTCAACCAGCGAGTCGTGGTTCGACCAAGCCCAGAAGTTGGGGGAACAAGCCATGGCCGCGGCGCAACCATATGTAGATACCGCGGTGCAGAAAGTGCACCAGGTCCAAGGTTCCGCTCAGCAGCATCTGCAGCAGAGCAAGCAGCAGAGCTCGGTCGCGGCTAACAACTTGCAAGTTGACGCGGGGGAGAAGACCGATAGCGCTGTTAGGGAGGGACATGAGGATGTGGAGAAGGCGAAACAAGCGGGGACGAGCTACGTTCAGCAAGCTGCGGGTTTAGCAGGGACTCTGCTTGCTCAAGCGCAGGTAAGTAGTCGAGTGGAAGGAACGGATGTGGTCTGACATCGAGTAGGGGTACGTTGCTGTCGGAAAGCAGAAGGCGAACGAAGCGTTCCATGCGCATCCTACCGATCCGTCCAAGGGAGGATCGATCATGTCCTCCCTGGAATCGACGACCAACTCAGCTTTTGAAGGCATGAAATCCCTCCTCACTTCTGCGCAGGCTCATCTCCCCCCTACGGCTGCTGCTGCGCTTGAACAAAAGGACGCCGCTGCTGGTCAAGCGCATGAGAATGTCGACCTTGCGGGGAGCGCAGCGAAGCCCTATGCGGAATCGGCGGCGAACCAACTGGGAGCGGTCCAGGGCTTCGCACAGCCTACCGCAGATTCTGCAGCTACAGGGGCAAAGCAAGCCCAGGAATCAGCATCTGCTGCTCTCGCTAGCTCCAAGACGACAGCTGCATCGGCATACGACAGTGCAAAGGGGCATGTCGCTCCTGTTGGCACTCATCAGACTGCCGTGGCTCCGAAGGAACCTGCCACACCGGCGGAGATCATCGAGGATGTGAGAACTGAGCCGGTTGACACCAAGTTGGATACAATGAAGGAGCATCTGAATAAGGATGGCATTCAGAACTCGGTTTGATCTACTTCTTCATTGGTTTTGAATTAGTGGGTACATATGATTTGTATATTGCAGCGATTGTACCGTATATGAGCTCACAAATGAATATACTTCATTGACGTCACCCACTCCTTAACGCCGACGGGTGCTTACATAAACAGACGCACTGGTGAACGCGTCGACCACACCATTGAGAAAGAGAATTCGGTGTCATTGCTTTGACGGTCTCTTTCTGTTTGCTGCTTTTATCAACATGGCAGCTTTGGATGTTCGCCAAGTCGTTGCTGAATTGCGACAAGCTGTAGACGATTGTGGTGATCGGGGGCTGACGACAGCCGCAGACTGGTATGTCGCATCCTCTACCTATACACGTGTACTCACTCACTAAGGGCATCCGAGCTGCTCAACGCCATTCCATACTCCGTTCGACGGTACGTTCCCCTCCGCCAACATTCACCAAATGAAGCGGGGCCCTCGTACCCCCTACGAGCATCCACCTCCACCCCGATCCGGTCTTCCAACGCCAACCTGAGCGCGGAATCGGCGATGGAAGTCACGGAAGACGATGTCGTCCCCCCTTCTTTGGACGAAGAAGACGACCAGGATAGGATCCGCCGTGCCCAGGGGCTGCTGGGGAAGCGGGAGATTAGGAGAGCGGCGGAGGTGTTGAAGGGGTGTAAAAGCGGGTTGGGGAGGTTCTTGAGACTTTATGCGAGATATTTGGTGAGTTCGGGTTGCGCGTTCAGGTGGCTGAGACTTATGAGACTCATGAGAACAGATGAGCGACAAGTATGCGGATGAACGATGGAATGCCGATCAACGTATGATCTTTTGAGACGGTCACTGGTCGTATGCTGAAAGTGGTCCAGATAATAGGGCGAAATGGACACCTTCACCCGTTAATGATCAACTAAACGAGCTGATCAACGATATTGGCTCTCCGACAGAACCCTTCCTTTTGTTCTTGTGAGCGTAATCCCTCTGGAGGAAAGCAGAACCTGATCTGTGTGAAGGAAAGGCATACTACTGTTCCGAGCGAAGAAGAGAGCGGAAGCGATGGAAGCGCTCTTATTATCACTACGATCTTACCCGTGCAATTGGTCATGCTGGATCCAGCTTGGACATTGCATTGACAGTGTTGAGGAGGTATGATCAGTGTTCTAAAGCACTTTATCGGCTGACATCAGCTTGTAACAGTTCACTCGCCTGCAACCGCTGTTACCTTCCCATTTCACCACCCGTATCTTTACCGTCAAAATGGCCGCCGACCTATATACTGCAAGTTTGGACAACACGGTGGAAACAATTGATACGTTGCTTGAGACTTTCCCAAGTTCATCGTTCTTGAAGGCGCAGAAAGCCTTGGTCTTCTTCAACATCCGTGGCAAGCTTCCGCTGATCATACCGTACCCCACTTACGTCTGATAACAGAGTCTGAGGAGGCAGAGCGTATATTTGATGAGATCCAAGAGACCGACCCAGATCGAGTGGACGACATGGACGTCTACTCGAACGTATTGTACGTACTGGACAAGCCGACCAAGCTGGGTGATGTCGCGAGGCGCATGATAAAAGTTAACAAGGATCGGCCGGAAGTGTGCTGTCTCGTCGGTGCGTTCTTCCCTTCCGGATTGAGGACTTAACGGCGTTGACATGAGGCAGGCAACTATCATTCGATGAGAGGCGACCACGAGAAAGCTGTCCTATATTTCCGTCGAGCGCTTACATTGGACAAATCGTACATCGCTGCATGGACGCTGGTGGGACACGAATACCTGGAGATGAAGAATCCGCAAGCTGCAATAGAAGCATATCGGCGAGCAGTTGGTCGGTGATCGAACTGTGACATATGAGTGGCCGCTGACTGTTGCGAAGATGTCAATCGCAAAGACTACAGGGCGTGGTACGGCCTTGGTCAGACATACGAGCTGCTCGACATGTTCTCGTATGCCCTTCATTATTACCAGAGAGCCGCGGCAATCCGGTGTGTTCAATCTTGCTGCCCTATTAACTCCAGTTCACGCAGATATACAGGCCATATGATTCGCGTATGTGGCAAGCGCTAGCTACATGCTACACAGCTATGAAGAGGTATGCATAGTATTTCCCCGTGGGGACAAGAGCGAACCTTCTTTGTAGACCACTGGATGCGTTGGAATGTCTCAAGCGTGCACTAATGGGAGAAGACGCCGACCAGATACAACTCTACACCCGTATTGCGAACCTTCTTGACTACAATGGCGACCACGCCGTTGCGACCACCTATCACCGGAAGATCGTCGCCGCCTGTACGACAGCCAATCGTCCCATTGCGGATTACGCGAAATCCCTCCTCGCGCTAGCGCAAAGTATCGCAGACTCAGAATCTCCCGAGGGTATACACGAAGCAATGGAGTGGATGGAACAGGTGCGAGAGAGCAGTTGTGAGGAGGCGGGCGTTGCCGGGGATATGTACCGGAAGTTGGATTCGCTGGCTAGTGGGTATGCGATGCAGGCGAGAGGTGAGGGGCAGCAGCAGGTGCAGAGTGCCCAAGAGACATAACTTGTCGCCTGTTCGGCCGCCAGCATAAAAAGGCTTCTGTTCCTTCTCCCCACCAACAACATCTCGCATCACTCCATTGCTGCACCCCTCTCTGCCTTTCTATTCCCCTGCTTAACTTGCACTCTCCAATCTGATACCCTCTTCATCGAGTCAGCACTTTCATCATTCATCATCTCATCCGCAGAGTTGGTGATGTCGTCATCGTCACTGTCGTCATGCTGAAACATCTCCTCAGCTGAGAGAAACCGGGGAGCACCGGAGATCCAGACGTCATTATTGTTGTTGAATACTGTATTGGCCGTCATCTCATCACTACGTGACGAGAATCCATCTGTTGCGTTGATCGCCTGGCGGTGTTGTGGATTGCCATTAGCGCGAACGGTTCTGAATGGCATACTTCGTGCCCTAAGCTTTCTTCCCCAAGCCGACGGTCTCTGATGGTCGTCATTGGATTCACCATCTCTATCCCCTTCATGATGTCTTTTCCGTTTTTTGGGAAGTGGTTGAATGGCGGAATGAGTCCAAATGCGACGGGAATGCCACTCGTCAAACCGCCATTTCTTCTGCGGAAGTCGAAAGACACCCTGCTCTCCAGTTCCGTGGCCATCCTTGGACAAATTCGGGGCCAGCATCTTTTCGAGCTCCGTACGACCCCAACTCTCCATGTTGACGAGGAAAAAGTTGTGTTTCCAGTAGTGCTCTGCCAGTCGCATATCCAACACATCACATATGAAGATGTGTATTATCTTGAAACTGTCTTAGCGACCGTTGTGACAGTGCCTCATATGACTTACTCCATGTGCATCTTGTGTACCCCCCAAGACCCAGAGCCTCGCCACGTCCCCTGCGAGGGCATAAGAGATCTGGCCTGTGATGCCCAAAGCTTCCAGATGCCGCTGCATCGTCGCAATCGAAATGACCGCTTGTCGAGCATTGACTTCGGGAGCTCTCAGTTTCCACTCGAAGGCGAGGAGAATGATACGCAATGCAAGGTCTTGCACATGTGTGTGATGACAAAATGAGAGTTCAGCTCTGTATTTCGCATAGGCAGCCAAATCTACTCGGTCGTCCACTGGGCGGGATGCTTTGTAAACAAGCATGGCATCAGGTGTTGCACTAGTGACACTTCCACGGTCGACACCTGACGTGTCCACCAGGGATGGATTTACATCTTCTTTGTATGGACAACATGCTTCAATCGCCACTTCATGCCTACGGACAGTGTTAGTGTGATATACTCCTTCCTTGACAAGCACCGCGAACAAAGCTTGGGTACACGACTTGTTTGTTGACGTTGCTCTCATTACTACGAGATGCACGAGTTGGTCCCATGGTCTTCGAACCATCGATTCGTCGATCATTCCGCTCTCAGCAGCAACAGATGTAGGTGTCTCCAGGATTTCTCCAAAGATACGCTCAAGCAGCGGCAATCTCGAGAGAACGTAGTGAGGATCGTCCTTGGAGAACGAGCTGTCGGGTAATACCCGAGTCTGCTCACGGAGGGCGGTCGGATAGGGCCCGTATTCTTTGCCCCTGCGGGGTATCGATTCCTATGGAGCGTATCAGAGAGACGCAGTGGAGGCAAGAGTGCTCCGGCTCACCTCTTTCAACTGGATAGGAAGATGGCCCTGGCATAGCTCGCTGTACCTTTTCGTCACCGTTCCTTTCAAAGGCCATAATTTTTCCACCGTAATCGTCGGTAATGATTCGGGACAAGGAAGTACTGATGACGAGCGGCGTGGTCCGCCCGGGAGAGAAGGAGTTGTGGCATTGTTGTCCTCAGGTATGTCCCGAAGGGGAAAGACAGAAGATTCTGCTGAGGGCAATAGAGGAGGAAGCGGACCTCCTGGATCTACTAGGACTGCAGCTTGAACTGGGTAGTCGAGCTTAATGTGTGTCATTACCCCCACGAGCTCGCACCAGAGATTAAACAATGTGATGTCTTGAGCGAGGCTGCTGGCTGCGGTGCTGTGCAGACGAGACATGTTGTACCCCGTGCCAGAATTGCTGCACAGAGTTGTGGGTCGATGGCGACGAGAACAGGTACAAGCAGTCGAGTTCAAGGAAAGGAAAGGGCAGGAAGAGGATTGGAGAGCACAGGGTCATCAGTGGTCGATGTTCGGAAAAACTCTCGGAGAAAGTAGACATTTGTGACGCGTCAGACTACCTCTTGTTGATTCCTTACAACATCCTCTTTATATTTTACTACACTTGTTTTGTTTAAAATGGTAAAGCGAGAACTACCAGCTGAGCTAGCAGCGAGGTTACAAGTAAGCATTATATCAATGTTCGCGTGACCAATGTTGAGAAGGTCAGGCTTTTCAGGACGGCGTGGCCGAAGAAGCAGAACGGATCGTGTGGGAGCTGTTCCCGAGAAAGGTTTGCATATGATTGTTTTATGTGCCTCGTGTATCTTCTAACCAGCACTGTTGCACAGGTTCTGTGAGTCGACTAAAGGGAATACCTAATCGAGTGTCTAAGTGACGGCGTGTGCAGCGATCTACAGGACCTTGTGACAACTATCGCGAGCAAACCTTCGCATCCTCTTCACGTCTCTCAGTTCTCCCGCTCTTCGATTATAACGACCGCCTCGCTCCCCTCGACCGATGCGTCCACGTCTGCCCCGCATACACATAGCAAGAAGCGCAAACTCGATAACGGTGCCGAGGCGCACGGAGAGGTACATGAGCAGGAAGTGAAGTATATCGAGTATGTGCCGGGGAATGGGCAGGTCACGAAGGAGATGGAGGCGATCAGGAGCGAGTTTGAGGAGCTGATATCATTGGTGGTTCGTATGATTCATTCCAATAGATTGGGAGAGCGCTTATGCTAGAGGTGCAGGACAAGGTCAAGTTATGGGTCAATATGATGATGCCCAAGTACGTCGCATTCATTGCTTTCCCCGGATTTGGACTGATTAGGATTGCACAGGGTTGAGGATGGCGACAACTTTGGTGTGGAGGTACAGGAACGTACGTGCATCCCATTTGACCCTGAGCTTGCAGTTGTTGAACCGTCGTAACAGAGGTGCTCGGGGAGCTACATCGTGCCCAAGAAGCAGGTTACAACCTCCTGGACGGGTTAAAGACCTACCACATGAACCGGGCCAAAATATGCAGCAAACTGATCAAGTATCCCAACCTGCCGGATTATGCTGTCAGTTTTCCCTTTCTCTCCATCGTCCATCATGAGCGTTCTAACTGGGTTGTGTGCATAGGAGGCGCTCAGGAGACACGACGAGAAAGCGTTTTTTGGGATCCGACAGAACCTCGTAGATCTGAGAAGCATATACTGCGTGCTGATGGATCTTTTGCATAAGAACATACAGAAGGTGTGCATGCCGCTTCAGCAGTGTCGTGCAGCGACTGACGCGGAGTGTAGATACGTGCACCGAAGGGGAACAATCGCGAGGCGTTGTATTGATTGCGTTCATTCATTGCCGCTTTTCGTTTGTTACACGCCCGCATGCCTACTGCACGTCACGTTCCTCCTCCGTCCGACCACACCATATCCGGCTACCCTACCGTATCTGCACGCCTTTACGCATATATAAAGCTCGCTGTATCCCTCGCATCGCGCAATCTTATCTGCCTCTGCTTGTCCCTTCGGGAATTCGTGCATCTCGCGTGTCCGGTCCCGGATCTCATTCATCCTACCCAGCATGCACGGCCGGCGCAGGGAGCCTTCTAGCAAAGATAGCCCCGTCCCCCTCTGAACCTCCCGCTAGCCGTTCCTCGTTTAGGCAGCCCTGCCCAAGGATACCTCCAGGCATCTGCAAGCTGGCAGGAAGTGGCAGCGATCACGCTTCCTCGCAACTTCCTGCCTGGGCCGGGTGGGGCTCCTAGGGCCAGTGGTCGAACCTTCTTTTCATCTTTCTTCTGGAGTGCACTAGGTTTAAGAGCGTGATGCCCAGTAGATGGGTGGGTATGGAAGGGTTTTCCAATCGACCGAGTGCTTGCTGGCGCTTGGAAGGGTATTCGACTTGCGGCCGAGTGGCATGAGTTCGCAACCTACTGCCGTTCAACACGTGTCTTACACTAGTACTAGTACCGAAGGAAAAGACTGTGTAGTTGGGTTCTCCCTGCCGACGTTCGCTTGTCTTGTCCCTTCCTATCAGAGAGGATTAGGATCAACCACCAGAGTGTGCTGTAGGTCGCCGAGTGCACGTACGGGTCCATCACCATCGCACAGATAGGGAGAAGCAGAAGATGAGTTTTGGAGCTGAAAGCGAAGCTCGGAGCATGCATCTACTAGACCGTCGGTGTTCGGGGGTATGGAACGTGCGCCATATCTCATGCTAGTTGGCTATTCTTATCTGTTACGAGTGGGTCTGTGTCACAAAGGTACAAATTGTCTACAAGCATGATCGGATCTCGACAAAAGAATCTGAGAGCTGCAATGAAATAATCGTAGAGAGAGAAGATTACATGCGCTAGGGATTGGGGTATTTAGATAGGAGATGTTCGTCCGGCGGTGGACGGCGGTGGGAGATTGTTTGTTCTTTGTGAGATGTGCTGGACTGGAATGCGGGGAATGTGACATTTCGTTATTGGTGGGTAGGATAAGCTGAAGATTGTCGTTGATCAGGATATGGGGTTGTTCGGAGACCATATATTCCTTCAAACCACATTTCAAGTTGATATTATACGTTATATATTCACTTCAACCCATTGTCAAGAGTCGATGGCTGATCCTATGAATGCCAAGATGAAGAGAAGAGAAACGTGATCAACGCGTGTATAACGGGAGTAAATGAACGCGTTTGTCTCTGTTGCCTCGTGTTCGTTTCGTCACCGCCGAAGTGACCGCTGACGCAACGGACCTTGAGTGAAAAGAAGCGCCGAAGAAAAACAGGGACAAGGCGCTGATTGGGCGCGGGAGGGCGTGGTTGACGCCTGGGGTGTACATCTCCTCCTCCTCCTTCTTCCCCTACCACTTGGCCTCGAGGTGTATTTCTCTGCTTGACTCGATCTATATCCTTTTCAACACGGACAACACTTCAACTCACTGATTATCTTCTTACCTGCATTGTTATCAACATCGACTTATACCGATACCACCGATACACATCAACAGCACACACCAGCACAGCAGTTAAAAAATATCATCCTTCGACACGCACACAATCACCATCATCATCCAGCAAAGCACCAATCTAGCCTATCTCGACAACGCACGATCCTATTCACCGGCATCGTGCTTCTCTGGCACTTCCGTCTTCCTCCTCATTCACACCCACGTTCTCCAGCTCACTTCGGCAGGCGAGCCGCGAGCTCATGCTTGCTCGCTCTTCGCATTCCTACCCTGCTTCTGCGCCTCTGGTCACTCGACGCTACATTACGAGAAGGGAAGAGAAGAAGCAGTCAGAGTAAGCCCTGATGCCACCGCGAGATCCTCCCGGTGGTGCTGGAGGGAATAAAATGCCGCCTAGTCCAGTGAAGATAGTGCGTCCCTCCTTCCTCGTTGTCCTCCCTCCAGCTCTAACAGTAATCAGAAAAACCCTTTTGCACGATTAGCTGCCTTTCTCTCTGCCCCGGAACCGACACTTGCAGACCTACCACGGTCCGCCACCGCACCTGCTATCGTTGCTCGTGCTCCTGCGCGACCGGTTGTTAGGACTGGCTCGCAGGAGAGCGGGAGGAAACCTCTAGGACCGCGGGAGAGGGGAAGTCCTGTGAAACAGCAGCAGAGACCGAACGGGACGAGCTCGCCTAATACTGGAGGTGTGGGACGAGGGAGTCCGACCAAATCAGGTTTTTCGAACAACAGTCCAACTACGCCAACATCCCCAAATCACAGACCAACAAACCATCGCCCACAGTCGTCCACCTCCAGCGTCCCACAACAACGTGCCAAATCTCCTGGTTCCCGAGCTACATCCCCCTACTCCTTCACCCCTTCGTTCAAAGCAGACTTCATGACTGCTGCCGCATATGCGGCGATGTCATCCCCGCGGGATAGTTGGGCGACGACAACTTCCCCTGGATTGGCTGGAGTGGGAGTGGAGACTGCAAGAGGAATAGGAAGTCCATTGATGGGGATCAGCAGTCCTGTACTGGCTGGAAGCCCACTAGGACGGCCCGAAAGAGGTCAAACGATTGACCAAGTACTGACGAGCACCACGCCTCTTATTCGACAAGCGGCCCCGCCCTCTGCACCGGCATCAGTAGCTCCAGCAACCCGTCCACCAAGCACCGCTCAGTCCTCTCAACCCCCATCTCCCGTTAAACCCTCCCACCCCCCTCCCCAGTCACAAGGATCAATTGTCTTCCCCACCTACCGGAACACCTCTACCAGCTCGCTCATCTCCCCTCCTGCGTCTACCGTCGGCGGCCCAACTTCTGCAAATGGACGATCACGCGCTGTCTCCCAAGGTCAGGGCACGGGACACGGCTTTCCCAGCCATCGTAAACTATCTACTACATCCCTCTCTCGTGCAGGGGGGTTCACGAACTACCATATGCGACCTCCAACGTTATCCAACGCCTCTGCCTCCTCTCTCCCGCTGGGCGACCGCCCGCTTCTTTCTCGGATATCCCACGAAGCCCGAGTGGAGCAAGCGACCGAGTCCAGCTTGCGCAACAAGAGCGTGGACAAAGTCGACGGGCTGGATCTTACAGACCCCTGGGGCAAGATGTATCACCATGATTCGCCGTATGACGTGTTGGAGAAGACGGGGAACGGGATTGGGGGTGGGAAGAAGGGGACTGGGGGGACGGGTGGCACGCCTAGGGGTGCGCAGAGGGCGGGGACGGCCCCTCCCAGTGGGAGGGTGAGCCCTGTGGGTAGTGCGATGAGTCCGGGGAGCGCTATGCTGAGGGAGGTAGGTGTATGCGCATATATTTGGGTTTCTGAGTTCTGATGATGCGTATGTAGACGGCACCGACGACGGCTCCCTACTCCCGATCACGGAGGAACTCGACTGCCCCCTCCCCCTTAGCGAGGAGTACGACCGCCTCGCAGATCGACCTGCCTTCGCAACTCTCTGCTTCTGCTCCGCCTAGCTCTGGCCCTCCAGTGAGCGGACCTTCTACTACCCCTCCGGAACACAACCAGCCCCCGACGATCAGCAACCTCCAATCCGCGCGCCGTTCCCGCATCTCCCTAGATGGACCTAGCGTCGGCGACCTCCTCTCCTCAGCGCTGGAAGATGCCGAAGACCACGAGCGACTCTTTGGCGAGCTGCGGGCTCAGGCTGCGCGTTCTGCAGGGAAGAAGAAGACGTTTTTCGGCTTAGGGTTGTTTGGCTCTTCAACTCCGAGTGAGGACCGGAATCTGGTCGTCAGGGGAAGGACGGCGCCTGTACGGAGGAAGCTTAGCAAGAGCAGGAGGGGAAGTGTTACTCTCAGTAGGAGGAGTAGTGTTTCTGGCCCTGGGGCTGCTGGGCTTGGAGTGGAAGGACAAGGCCTGAGAAGGCCGAGTTGGGGAAAGAGACACAGTGTGATCGGGATGGTCACTCCGCCTGAGAGTGTTGTTGAGAGAGCTGAGGTGCCGGCGAGGGAGGGCGAGAGGGCGGAGGAGAGACATGGGGCGACGGTGGTGAAGGATGTGCGGAGCGCGTTTGAGGGACTTAGGACGCCTAGTCCGGATAAGCCTCAGCCGGCGGTGCCTCTCAGTCCTGCTCCTACAGGTGGACCACCACCGGATGCGGCGACAGCAATTCCAGCATCGACGGCAGCATCCTCCGCCTTCGCAGGGCGACAAGCGCCCTCACCTATCATTACCCAACCACTCCGTACCCGAAGTCCGGACAAACCCCACCCTCCTATGCCTTCCTCCGATGGCCCGCCCTCTCCAGCCCAAACGTTCCTAACCAACGTGACCACCGCCGGCGGGTCCATCCCTGGCTCGCCGTTCATGTCCTCGCCTCAATCGCAGATATCCGAGTACTTCCCCGCTATGCCTTCTGCGGACAGAGCTGCAGCACGCAATGACAGCTCGGACAGAGTGGGCAGTACTGGTGTCTCGGGAGCGATGCCGGGCATTGGCGTGGGCGCGGGTGCAGCTAGGGGTCCAGGGCCAGCGCTAGGAGACCCGCTTGGCTTGCATACTCCAAGCCTGGGCTCAAAGGTCAACGTCGTTCCTCTTCAGCCGACAACCACCCCTTCTCCCGTGCTTGCAACCCCTTCTGCGCCGATGCCGCTTGGGATTGGACAACCCAGACCGCGTGTGCCCAGCTTCGAGGTTGTCCGCCCAAGAAGGACAAGCACGGACCGGAAACCCGTTCCGCCTCTACAAACCATCGCTTTGCCGTCGTCAGCATCAACGCCCTCTACCGCTGGCCCAGCTGGAATAACCGTAGCATCGCCTCCCCCAACCGATAATTCCCAAGGTGTAATCACAGGGGTATCATCTGCTGCCCAAGCACCCGGGTCAAACGGAGCTTCTTCTGTGGCTGTGCCGTTAAGTGCATTGACGCAAACTGCACGTGATATTCCCGATCGCTATGCGAATGGAGATGCTGGTGAACCCGTGGCCCCTGTCCCCCGGGGCGCGGCGAGTGCTAGCGTCGGCAGTGCGGCACCTGGAGATCATCAGCAGCGCATGCATCAAGGGGTTCCTAATAATGTCATGGCTTCTGGTGACGTTGTTCCTCATCTCACGAACTTTACGAACGTTACGACTTCTACGACCTCATCCACGCCGGTTCTCCCATCCACACCTACAGCATCGTTCCCATCGACGACCTCCACCGCAGCTGCTATAGCAAACGGGAAGCAGCCTGTTCTCCTTGCCAAAGCCACTACAACCTCTGTACCACTCAAATCCTCCCCAGATTCGAAGCGCGAGCGCAGATCATCCCTATTTAGCGGGTCATCCAAACGCGCATCATCTTCTTGCGACACATCAGGAGCCACCGGCTCTGCTACTACAGCGTCTACCAACGCGACGGCGACGACCGCACACACCACTGTTGGTGGGACTCCTCATTTGCCTGGCACCCCCTCCGCGCCAGCGTATGTGCCGGGAGCGAACAACATCCAGCGCAGGCAGAGCCAACTGCCACTGGTCGTTAGCCCCTCAGCACACTCTACGCCCGGCAAAGGCTACTCTCACAGTCGCGAACCAAGCATGCGGAGCGACGCGAGTGGCTCCGGTGGGGGGTTCTTCAAAGCCCTTGGCCGGGCACTCAGTATCTTCCCCGGGCGCACGCGGAAGACATCCACCGCGAGTGCGACGCCATCCTTCACCCACCCCATTCCTCAGCACGGACATGCGCCGCCAACACCGATCAAAACCCAGGGGCTAGGGGCGATGCCCGGTTACCTTCCTGCCGGAGACCGCTCTGAGTCCCCCGATGTCGAGTTGGTGCTCAGTATGGGGAAGCTGATGATCGCCAACCCTGATGTGAGCGGGTCGGAGAGCGAGCTGACTAGTGTGAGGACGCCGAGGGGACAGAGTCCTCAGAGAGTGTACGTTGGTGGACAAGGAGCATCAAATGCCGTACAGCCTGGGATTCCCAGTATGCCGGAGATGCTCGCGAAGGCAAACGTCCAGCTGCAGCATGCTGTGAATGGACAGCAGGTCGCTCATGCTGCACCTGCAGTTCAGACGGCCCCCGCTCGCGCAGCTCCAACAACAAACGGCGTCCAGGGAGTGGCCTTCCCCACGAGTCAGACGCCGGCGTATACCACGCCTCTTAGTTCACCAGAGCAGGAACGCGCGAACCCGCTGAGACAAAGATCGATAAGCAACATCGAGCAGCCCCAACCGCAATTCCAACCCGCACCAGCTACGCAGCCCCCAGCTCCGGCTCAGCCAACTCAGCCAGCCCAGCCAGTTACTGTTGGAAGGTCCGAGAGACGCCGCAGCGGCTCGTTTGTAAGTCCGAGCGGCATATTCAGCGGATTCTCCCGGGGACAATCAGGGAAAGAACGCCCTGCGCCAAGCGTGCAGGCAGTCGCGCAAGCTGCTGCTGCTGTTACCCAGCCTCAGGGCCCGGCACCACAGGTGGTTGGTGTCACTCCAACAGCAGTGACGCCATCACCGCCCGCGGTAACTCATCAGCAGGCTCAGCCAGCGGGAATCCAACCACAGGGCCAACCACAATCACAACCACAAGTGGTGCAGGCTCAACTGGTAGCGCAGCCACAGCCTGCTCAGCCGGTCGACGTATCTCACGTATCTCCCCCGCGCTCCAATGAGCTGCACGCTTCCCATCGTCATTCAGCAGAGCACCACTCGGCTCATCATTCCACTCCTCGGCATTCGGGCGAGCATCAGCCACCTTCCGTGCCGCATGCGAATCCAGCCCCAGCCCCTTCAACACTTTCACCTGCGTCGCCTACTTCCAGCACATCCCACCCGTCGCGTCCTCCGGCACAACCCCTTGCTTCCTCTGATCGCTCTCTCTCTGCAACATCCCTACGTGATCTTGCCCCGCAAGTCGTCTTTGATGTATTCCAGGCGCCGGTCAAAGAATCTCTCAAGAAAGCGACAGGGGAGGGAGAGTATCATTCCAGCGCGATCGAGTACCGTAAAGGCTCTAAGCGTGTAAAGGAAAAGCGGGAGGAGGCAGTTCCTGTCCACGCTCAAGGTCAAGTTCCCTGGCAACAACAACAACACATGACCCAACAACAGGCGCAGCAGGCACAACAAATGCCGCAAGTCATGTCCCCGCCCATCTATATGTCCCCCTACATGCTCCCACAAGGCCAGCATCAATCCTGGTCTCATCCCTCTGAAATAATGCGCCCTCCCTGGGCATCGCCGCCCGTGGCGACCTCTGCCTACAGCTACCTTCCTCCCATGCACCAGCCCACCCCACCACAGGTGCAGCCTCAGCCGCCCTATCTCACTTGGTCGGCTTCGCCTAACGCGATTCCGCCAGGTGCACTTAGGCGGGGTATTAGTACGGATAGTTCCCTAAGCGGAGAGACGATCCGCGGAATGGGAAGGGAATGGGCGGTAGTTTCCCACCCTGCACCTCAGGAAGGGGCCAAACTCAAACGGAAGCCAACCAAGGATAGGGAGGAAACGTACCATTCTCTGGCGGACATGGGGTCTTGGGGCAGAAGTGTCATGTCTGCCGCGGTGGGCACGGGTGCCAACGAGTTGGGGCAGGTTGTTAACCCTCCCGCGCCGCAGCAGATCAAGGATGCGGAAAGAGAGAGGGAAAAGGAAAAAGAGAAACAGCACCAGAGGGAGGCGGAGGAAGCAGAGAGACAGCGCGAGCGCACCTCGGAGATGACACGCAAGAGAAGCATCTCTCAGCATGTGCCTGTGGCTAAGCTCAGGCAGTTGCAACGTGATGCGGAGGAAGAACGGGAGCGGTTGATGCGAAAGGACCAGCAAGTAAAGAACGAGCAGACTGGCTTTGGGTTACTGAGGTACAGAAGCCGGAAAGAAAGCAAGGAGGGGAGTGTGGAGCGGAAGGAAAGCAAGGGTAAAGGGAAGGATAAGGAGGTCGAGCGCAAGAGCTGGGACGATGAGACTGCCCGGGACCTCCGCGAGCGAACGGACAGCGTCATCACCAGTGTCGTTGATGGTCGTCGCGACGCCCTCGGCAGGCGGGAAAGTACCATGAATGGCGAACCCAGGCAGCGTCGCATCAGCTCGGACAACATTTCACCCCCACGGCAGATGGCTCCCCAATACCAAAACTCACGCCGCGAGCGTCCGCCATACGTGCGGAAGCGCAGCACCTCCATTGACTCTGTTCTGAATGCGGCGGCTCGGACGAGCGAGTACTATGGGTATGGCGCGCGTCCGTTAGTCGAACAGCCCGCATATAGTTATTCGTCCTATCCGAATGGCGCCAACACCTGGTCAGCATCGCACGCACCACCCCGGTACACCCCTGTACCTGTTTCATCGCTCACCTCATCCCGATCGATGAGTAGGCAACCTGGATACACCCCCATGACCGCGGGCGAGTTCAGGAGCCGTAGGCTGAGTACTGGCTCGCGTGGCATGGAAAGAAGCGTATCTCAGGCGCCGCTGCCAGCACCTGAGCGTCCACCCATAGGCGGATCAAACTCTTCACCTCCTGCTGTCACGAGAAGTACGTCAACGAAAGCCGGTGCTGGATCGGGCTACACGAGTTTCAGCATCTCCACAGGCCAGGTAAATGGAAATGGAGTTCCTCACGGTGCCGCCTTCGTTCCCGGGAATGGATCGGCTACTACTGACACGAATGCCGCGGCCCGCCGAGTGATCCCTGCCCCAAACATGGACTGGATGAAGTTCACTGATCCTGCACCCAGCTCGACATTTGTCGCATCATATTCCAACGGAACTCAAAGTGCATACGGTCCACCAAGGTCAAGCTATTACACCAACACTGGCTTCAGCTCCGCGGATTACTGGAATTCTTACGCGCGCGGGGTGCCCCCAGTTGCTGGACGGGAGAACTAACAAAAGGACTTAAAGATATACCCCTTGGACCGCTGTTTTCGCTTCATCACTGTACAACGTCCGCATCTCGCATTTTCCCTCCTCGATAGAGATCTTTGCAATCTTCGGCTTAAATTTCTTCTCTCAACAAGATGACACCAGTACTCAGTATATACGACAGATTCACGACCCAGTTTCGTTGCCTTCACAATTCCATCTTGGGGTATTTTAAGGATATCGATGTATCTTAGTTATTCACGGTTGCCCGTCACCTGCAATAAACAAGGTTTATCTGAAGAGCTGTGCTGATAAGGGTCCAAAGTGGAGCAACTTCCTAAATTTGATAGCTAAGATCCACTGCTACAGGTTTGTATGGACGAAAGCGTCACGTTTCACGTTACTGTCATTATGAAGTGTTATTACAGATACAGGTTCCGATTCATGATAAACCCCCGCCATGCTTTCCAGATTTCTAGGTGAAGCAGCCATCAGCATCGACATCAAATGAAACAATGAAAACTAAAAAGTAAAAGCCCTCAGACCTCCAAGGAAGGACAATGCGCCCTCATCGCGCTGCCTCGACAGCCACGCACCGCAGCGCAGTTCCGAAGAACCGGCCCACACTCCGCGCTCAGTGGATGGGTTCGACCTCACGATAGGAGGGGGAATATAACGGCGGACTCATCGAGGACTTAAGTGCGCTAGAGTGGAAACTGCGAAGTATACGGAATAGATTTCGTCATGGGGAAAATAGATGTGTCGAATGATCCAGGCGAACAACTAACCTGAACGTGGAATGCGACGCGGTGAATCAAATTTCACTCGATCTATATGGAAACGATCAGTCAAATTGCCAGAGACCGTGAGAGATCGAACGGAGATCAGACAAAGTCACACTGGCAAGTGTATTAAATGCATCCGAGGATGCGGCGCGAAGGTTGCGAAACCAACGCTGCTCTGCGTCTCGGCATGGTCGCGTAGGCCGGGGAAGAGAAGGAGATAGTCATCATTTCGATGAAGCATGTAACACAGCAAGAATTGGAAATGAGACGTACCAGGACAGACGTGTGCTCACTTGGTGTTTATAACAACATGTGAGAGAGTATGGGAGTAAGAGGATGAAGGGTTGCAGTCCACGAATTTATCGACCGCGAAAAAAGCGCACAGACCAAGGGACGGATGCTAAAAAATGACTAAATTAGATATCCCTCGGAGCCAATTGAGGACAGACGAGAATCGGAGTTTAGCGTGTCACAGTCACATCTACGTCTTCTGTGTTTGGACAAGCACTCTCCTGGGTACAAATATGGGCATCGGCAGAAACTTTTACCTCGTCTAGCTACCTATGCCGAGGACTCCCGCCTATACGCGGATTTGCTATCGCTCCGTAGCTCTTTCATGACTGGCAGTGTTGGCGCTACTCTCGGCCAGCCGCGATTCGTTGTGTCCGAGTATCTGGCAGCCCTATGTAACCCCTCCTCGAAGAGACTCTCCATCCAAGCTTTTGGGACGGTGTATTGCACGACATCCTATCTGTTGTGCTGTAGTCTGGCGCCGTGGCGTGTCTGAATCTCCCACGACGGATCATCACACTTAGTCCCACTCAGACCACTGCGTTTACTGTTACCTGCTGTCAGTACAAACGAAGATGGTTTTACTGTTGAAGTTCAGGGACGCCCCGATTATCGGTGGAAATCCAACCCTCCTTTTCTCTAAGCATACGCATCTGCTGGTCTATCGATGCCGTAACAAAATCTACGCGCTTACGAGTTAAGGCGTTGTAGTCGACAAAATGGTCGACGGCATCAGCGTCCCGGACCCTTCGAAACACTGGTGTACGATGACCATTTTTGCTCGATTTTGTCGAGATATAGGATATAGCGGGTCCTAATGTGCTCTTAGTATAGAGGCTCGTCTCCAACGTGGCCGGGCCTGCTGCTTGCGGTGCACCTCTCCCAAGAACACCCGACATTTTCCTCTTCACATCATGGTAGACTGGTCAGTATACATACTCGATTCCGATGTAAGTTGACAGATCTGACCGAGAACAGTCTGGATTTGTCTCGGGCGAGAGTCCACTTCGGAATCTAAGTACCAGAGCTTTAATGCGTGGCGGAAGGCCATGCCCGCATGGGGAGGAAAGCGAGCTAGCTCAATGAGGGTATTCCAGTGAATGATCCGTGTAGACCAGCTTTGATTGGTCTAGGTTGTAATGTCTGACAGGCAAGTAGTATGTATTGAACGTAGCTTATCCCTCCAAAATATACACTGTTCTCAATCACGCCACCTGCCCCTTGAAACGTCAGGAAGATCACGTAATCGGGACCAAACAGTAAACAAGCGCACGTGACACTTGAGCCCTTTTGATTGAAAAAACACCCTTTCTAGATCTTTCACCGTTCCATGCCATTCAAAACATAGGCGGTAAAGGTGCTGCATAAGTGAACTCTCTGACTTACATACATTGGCGCTCTTGATTCACTTCAACTCTAATTTTGACTCGATCACACAGGAGTCTAGTCACGGTGCTCTGTTGCATGTTTTACGCAACCCTGTTGTAATTCTTGGCATCCATGGCCTCCCGAATTCATGGCCATCGCTTGGGACATCCTGGCGCAGCATAAGCCCGTCAGTGCTTCAAGGCGTAACTCCTTGGTGCTATCAGATGCTCCGCACTCAGCCGAGGAGAGAGGGGGGTCACTTGGGCAATCTATTCCGTCCTTACTGCTGTGCATGATAGGGGCCAGAGTTCCTGTCGTCCACATGCTGGTTGTCTCCCTAATCCCCAAGAGAAGCCATTTCACTTGAACCACAGGGTCCGGGAAGGAACACAGGGGTATGTGTCTGTGTATCATATCCGCACCAGCTCGGAAGACCCCTCTACTTGTCTCAGGATCCATTGAGAGATGGATTTGAGAGGTTGCTTCCTTTCATAATTCGCCATGCTGGAGAGAACCTGCCTTGCTTCCCTCAATGTGGATAAGCACTGGGACTGGAATTTGGATTCTTTTTACGAAATGAACACATAATGACGGCGACAAATTCCACCTGGAAACGTATGCAGGTAAGGGCGTCAGCAGTCGAGAACGCCGATTCCCCAGTCTCAGCAACATGCACGCCTTGGAACTGAGTGGCGGCAACAACCTGTCATTTGCAACAACACCCCTATGATAAATGAAAGAAGGCAAATCGCGTCATGCGACCTCGTTACCTAGCATTTCAAGTTGTTATACAAATCGCCAGACCCGGAGGAACCCAGAATACAAAGGGAATAGGCACACATGCAAACGTCCATGTCGGTCGAATCATGATGCTCATCGATCAGCACCCCATTTTGTGAGGTCCGACCGTATGTGCCACGGAGCTTGTAGAACAGATGAATTGTCGCGGTTTGGTATCGAAATGAAGATATCGTCGAAGAACGAATAACGAAGGCGTGGGTGGAATGTGATCTAATGGCCGGAAAGAAGCCTCGTGGCACTTTCATGTTACCCACATGAAAGTGCTTATGCACTGTAAAGTTGTTACTGAAAGAAGGCCTCGGGATAATCGGTATATCGCGTTGAAGGATCGAGAACAGTTCGAAGACGATCGGCGTGGATATAGATATCATCGACTGCTATTCGGAGTGCGAGGCATTTCCTGCATGCGTTCAAGGCTTTGGATCGTGAGGTATCGGTCAGGAGACCGAACTGCTCTATGCGCAGGATCGTGTCCACGAGCTCTGTCCAGCCCCTTGCCCACTCGTTTGCACCTATCACTACCTCAGCAGCCCCCTCTTGGCTGAATCTGCGAATCTGCGCATACCTCCGTATCCGGATGCGTGGTAAGCCTCTCGGAGCTCACTGGACGCTCTTTCAAGCTGCTTGCAGATATCGTCATTTATCCGGACGATATTGGGAGATACCGGAGATGTTGGTGACGTCGGAGAGGTTGGAGAGGTTGGAGACCCTGGCATGGCAGTTGAGCGGAGAGACGAAGAGTGGAAACTGGTGGGTACGGTTGGCGAGACATTCGACCCCGCCAGGGACACTCAATATTTGTAGGCGCCAGCATGTCAGCGTGCCGGCAAGAGTGAGAAAATGAAGACGTGTTCAAAAGAGGCGAGGCTGTGCGTGGGGTGAAGAAATAGCGGAGGGCAGACGAGGCATGAACACTTCCTCGAACGGGGCCGCGGCAATCATCGAGATGGATGATCAGAGCGGAAATCACCCGCTGTGCACATACTGGCGCTCACGTACACGTTTTCACGATACATTTTTTTCTACCTTTCTGATGGGTGCGGTGAAGGGCCTCTGACAAAGTAAGAATCTATCGGTAGGCTGTACACTTCGGGAGCTGTGGCGCATTCTGCCGCGGTCCGTTGAATGCTCTCTGACGCGCGCGTGTCCCTTACAATACCTCTGCCGATACCTCCTCCGAACTGTAAATTAACTGATGGCGTGTGGCCTCGATCCAGCCCTTTCATCTCCGCGTTCTACTGGAATCGATGTTTTTCATCAGCCTGCGAGTTTGCCCCACTCAACCCCTTCTTTTTCGTTCTGGACAGCAAGAGCTCGGCACAGCGACTTAATCGGCCATGCTCAACCGTTCTCTCACGAGGCCGACTGCGTGATCATCAGTTCAGGCATGTCTAGATGCTTAGCTGCGTACTTCATGCTCTTGGCTCAGCCTGATCTACCCCATGGTATTGTTATGCTTGAGGCTCGGGAAGCGATCAACGCCGCTACTGCATGCAATGGCGGTCACTGTCGACCTGATTGCTACCGTGGTTACTTGCCATACAAGAAGATCGTCGGGGCGTTTCAGGCATCGAAGGTGATTCGAGAACCACGTGTTCTTTTGAACTGTCTCCGAGAGTATCCAGGTCATCAAAAACGAGATGGACACGTTGGATCTGGTGGAGAAATTGGTGACCGACGAAAATGTACGAGTTAGGCGTTAGTCTCGACCAAAATGACCTTGTTCAGGCTAACCCGTGATTGCTTGGCGCTCATGCTGCCCAGATTGACTGCGACTTCTGGCGCGGGCGCTCGTTCGATGCGATGATGACCGACGAATGCAAGGTCGCTTATCGAAACTCCTACGACGAGTTCATCAGAGACGGCGGGAATGCCGACTAAGTCGAGTGGATCGATGACCAAGCAGAAGCGCAACAGGTTTGAGAACCACGTCGTGCGCGTGTACTTCGTTGACCTCATGCCTTATCCTCAGGCTACTAGGCTCCTCCGCGTGGAAGCCGCCGCAAGCTTCCCAGCTGGCTCCTTCTACCCGTATAAGTTTACTGCGCACTTACTTAGGCGTGCTATGTCCATGGGATTGAACTTGCAGATCCATACACCTGCCACTGCAGTTGCTTCGGTAGATGGATTCTGGATGATCGACACCCCTCGCGGCAGCATCCGCACTCGCAAGGTCCTGCATGCAACGAACGGATACGCATCTGCCATCCTTCCCGAGTTTACTGGGAAGATCGTACCCTTTTACGGGGTGTGTTCGTCTGTCACCCCAACCAAGTCGTATTCGGGGAAGAAGATGCTGGCACACACAATGTCCCTGTATCAACAGCGAGGGGTGCGTGATCGTACTCCGACTGAAGGATTAAACTCAGACTGCGTGCACAAAAATAGGATTCCAGCTGATGGAACAATCATTGTTGGCGGGGGGGAGTTTGTGAATCGGCAAGCGCACATCAACAATTGTGACGATAGCAAAGTAATGCCAGCTATCACGGAACATCTCCGAAACGTCATGAAGGACAACTTCGATGGTTGGGGCGACGAGGCACACGGCGAAGGGCTGGAGCGCGTTTGGGCTGGCATCTCGGGCTACGTAGGCACTTCCATTGTCAACAACGGCATTATCAGCTGAGCGATCATCATTGTGTGCGTTCGCAGACAGGGGACGGTTTATCCTATATAGGTGCCTTTCCCGGAAAAGAAGGCCAGTTTGTCTGTGCAGGTTTTCATGGGCACGGTAAGGCCTTTCCATCGGTGGCGCCTGGCCGTGCAGACGCCCCCAACATTGCTGACAACCGTGCACAGGTATGGCGCGCATTGCTACGTGCGCAAGAGGGGTGGCTATGTTGATGTTGGGGCGGGCTTGGGAGGAGACAGAGCTGCCCGAATGTTTCCAGATTACGAAGGAACGATTGGAGCGCAAGGTCAGGCTGTAGGGTGAAAGAGGTAAGATTATTATCGTATCGCGGCTTGTGATTGTCCCGTTAGGTCGGAAGGTTGGCATAAAAGGGTATCGTTGTTGTATTGTAGGATCGAAAGGATATGGAAAGAATCTAATTAGAACCCCAACGGCTAACAACGGGGTGAAATTGTTCATGCGGTTTCCACCTGGGATGACATCTAGTGACCCTGTTTCTTCTTACCATTACGGCGGCACCCGACCGGCGAAACTGTTGGCCGAGATGAGGCTTCCACCGAATCGCGAGCTAAACATGCACTAAGGACAAGAACGGTATACATTTACGGGTAAACATCGGGAGACGTGATGGTTATGTAGAATCATACAGATGCTTGAGGAGAAGAAGAAAATATAAACAATGATATGTACAACCGGGGCAGTGAAATCCGCCCTTCATCACGGCTTCGGGAATGATAAGTCCGGGTAATCTTCGTACTGCATGTCGCCATCTAGGAACCGCCGAAGCCGCGCTACCTGAGCCGAAAGGTATATGACGATGATCTGCATCTTGATGTCAATGTCAAGCCTTAACAGCTGATGACATGTCGTAAGAGCGATGTCGCGTGTCGATGTGAACAGGGCGCCTTCAAAGCCGGTCTCGATGATGGCATCGATGAGTTCGCGGAACTCGTCACACCATCCGAGCACGCCTAACTCTCCAAAAGCGTCATATCTTGTTCGAAGGATGTTCGGAGCGATCTGGAGGGCGTATGCGATGGCACCGTTTGTTGCTAGTGCGGAATCGGAGGGTTGGATTTTTGGCGCATCTGGTTCAGGCGGTGCGGGCGCAGGGGGGACGGGAATGACAGGTCGATCCTTGAATTGAGTGAGTAAGTGCACTGCATGACCTAACTTTTCGCTGGGGCATACCTCAAACCATTTGTGTTGCCGCTCGTACTCCCAATCGTCCCCTACGTCGTTCGACTGCCAATTGTCCATCATCTTGCTTGGGGTGAAGAAGGAGATATCAGAGTTCTCTCAGCAAGGTGATTGTAAAGCCGCAAAATGTTCGACGGATGAGGTACGGATATAGGGTAAATTCGTGCGACAGAGTCAGAGAATACGCAAGCACGTTCCTTATACCACTCGTTAACCGGAGCTTGTACTGCCTCGCAGCCTAATGAAGTATCTTGCTCCACGTCTGTCGGACCTGTCTGTGATATACGCGACACCGAGCACAAAGTCAGTGACGGTGTTGATGAGTTGTTGACGGTGGATAGAGCCGGTCGACGAGTGCAGTATGTCAGGTGCACGTACAATATGCTGGCAAGACCTGGAGGAGGAAAGGACACGCCTGATCGGAGCTGGATACATTGTGAATTACATTACGCCTCGTGTCACACATGAGGACCCTGATTCGGAGCTGAGCAAATGACCAAAATTATTCTAGACAAGTAGGAAAAAACAGCAATTCTTGTGAAAGGGAACATGGACTCTGAGCTATGTCAGTTAATGACGAACAAGGTCTCTCACATTCCACACTTGCAACGCCTAGTCGTACCGGAACCAGAACCTAAAGTGTAGGTAAGATAGACAAAAATATTTTCTCTCCCTCGGGGAGTCGAACCCCGCTCTCGCGCGTGACAGGCGCGTGTACTAATCCGATATACTAAGAGAGACTTGGATGGAAGGCAGTGCCGCCTTAAGAACAGATAATAAATACAATGGGTAATTACAAGAACCGTGTTGTTCAGTTCATTAGGCTTGGGCTCGATATAATCGCTAAGAAAACATTCTACTCGTTATAATAGTACAAATACGAGTATAATGTGTATTTTTTCTATCCTCTCGATAGCCAGAGCAGTTCTCTCTCCTTCCATTGTCCACGAGTCTTATATATTGGGTGTCAACCTATGTAAAGTAGCAATCAGCGACCTGCTTTGTGCGCATGGGAAGATATCAACCCACCAATCATAACGCATGATTTCGTCAATGCTGCTGAATGCCGCGTTCGCCAGTTCTCTCGCCTCCATCCAGACCCAGACTTTCGCAATAGCCGTCAAGCTGCCCATGTCGTACTCTTTGATCTGCCCCGGGCGAGAGCCCATTTGCCGCCCAACCTGGCGTAGAATGGGCACTGCAGACCGGAACAGATCCATGTTGGAATCCAGCTGTCGACCGATACCTTCCAGCAGCAAGATTGAGATGACTGTGTTTACGAAGTCCGCTTCCATCTTTACGTGATGGGTGCGCACGGCGGTGAGCACCTCGGACAGGACGTCCGATATCCGTATCTGAGCAAGGGAGAATGTCTTTGATTTGACCGAAAGAATCAGGTGTTGCATCTTCAATGCAAACGTCTCCGTATCAATCGCGAGGTCCGGCGTGCGACATCTTTCGATCATTAGCTGGCCAGCCCGATATCCGTCGAACACAGCGATCGCTTGGAAGAGGTCGAGGAAGTTTCGGCGATTTGTTGGTGAAAGTGTGGTGACGAGACCGGTGTCGACGAATATCAGCTCCGGAAGGTATCCCTCCTCGTGGAGTTGATTCAATTCGGACAGCCACGCTCCTTCGGGAGCATCACTTTGAGCAAGTGGTTTCAGCCGACCAACAATTGCATCGCTCTCGGCAAAAAGCGCTTCCTCATTTGGTTTAGGAGTTCCGAACAGCTTGTTCCCAATGAGCTTGAAGAAGAAACCTGTGCTAGGCTTATAGAACTTGACCATGATATTCCCAGGATGCAGGTCGGTGTGCACGAAGTTATCGAGTAATAGCATGTTTAGGAAGGCGTCAAGACCCATGTTAGCGAGTTGCTCATCGAAAGGACCCCCTCCGTGCTTGAGGAAAGCAGGTAGAGGCAGCGCGTTCTCGTATTCTTCGACGAGAATGTCCCTCGTGGAATATTCTTCGACCGGTCGTGGAAATCCGATCGCTGACTGTCGGTTTTCGAAATTCTTCTCAAACCGTCGGAGATTAGACGCTTCCTCCCGCAAGTCCAGCTGGGAACGCATCATGCCACCAAACACTTCCACTTCCTCGGGCAATGAGAGCCACTGCACGCCGGGTATCAACGAGAGTGCGCGTGCAAAGAAGCTCATGATCCTTAGATCACGGTTAATGGTCTTTTCCACCCGCGGGTGCAGGATTTTGATCGCAACTTCGGCAGAAGGCGGTGATGAGGGCGGAGGACTTGTCGGCGGGAACTGCGGTGGGAACCTGCGCTCGTGCGGATGACGTGGATTCAAGTAGCTCGGTGGCAGGACAGATTGCTTTAGACGACCCTTGTAGACCTGCGCGATAGCGCCGCAGCCTATCGGTGTTCTGTCGAATGATTCGAATACTTCATCAAACGGCGCTCTGAACACCCGTTCCACTACTCGTCTTGTATGGGAAAATGAATGTGGTTTGCCATTTGAGTGCAAGCGGCCAAGCTTTTCGCAAAGAAGAGACGGGAATAAGTCCTTTCTCGATGCCGCCCATTGAGCCAGCTATATGCGTTCAAAATTGGTAAGAGCACAAAATAAGAGTGGTTATCGAGGTACGTACCTTGGTAAATGTTGGGCCCGCTCGCTGCATCTGCGCAGTCAGCAGCCCATACCACCACACCGCCCCCCATCGATCCCCATCCAGCTTCTTCTCTGACTTCCCGACCACCAGCATTGGTGCTGCGAGTATGACGGGCAGGAAGATGCACACCAGCTGACAGAATCTGAGACCGGTTTGCAGCGGCTCCCATATATGCGTCTTGATCCATCGCAGGATGCTGGAGAGCAAAAAGCGCGAGTCGGAGGTTCGGGGTTGTAGAGCAGGTTGGAAACTGTCACAGGCAGTGCAGGGGATAATGTGTGAGGCGGTGAGGAGGGTATGAAGAGCTGGTGGTGAGGGTGAGAGGCGAACATAGATGTAGCATCCGGCTGCTGGGAGGAAAAGCCATTGGAAAGAGAACAGCGGCCGTTCTCGCCGAGGAGGTGGGAAGGAAAAGCGCCAGAATGAGCCTGAAAGCGTACTATCCGGCCGAAACGATGAAGTCGTGAACGTTCTTCGGGGATGGGTTGAAGATACAATGGGAGATCGTCGGATTGTAGGAAGGGTCGAAGATATCGATATCCGAGGTGCCGGAGGTCGTGCAAAGTTGTTTTTCAGCGCCAGAGGTAACAAACCGACTCGGTACTGTAACACCATTTTGCAGGTAGCAGCGTCCCGTGCTTGGTAGTCCCGTTTTGAGTAAGACAAACTAGGAAGCCCTGATGAATTCTATGGTGCGTTCATGATATGGTAGACGGCGAGGACGGCGACGCAGTCAGAGAAAGACGGCGAGCTCTAAGCAAGGAGGAACGAGTCTCCCCGGCAAGGAGAATTAGAGGCGAAGAACGTGAAAGATGGCTAAATATATGCTTCCGGTAATGACGTCCTGCTCGGCACGAACGTGCCGAGGCTGTTTGATCTGACCCGTCTGTCATGAAACTAGTTCAGCAAATAGAGTGGAGATTTAGAATCTCGTATTGACATCAAATCCAACGTCGCCATCTAATATCGTTGAATGTAAGGTTCATAGTCTCATCTGCTTTGCAAAAGTGCTGCGGCTCTGGTATCACTAGGCGTGGCCACTGATCGACTTAACCTTGTATCTGCACAACATCAGTGACTTTTGTCAAGCACGAGAAGAGGGAAGCGCACGGTTCTTCAAGATATTTGATTTCTTCATCCGTCAGTGTCTTGTTTGGAATAATAGCCTCTTCGATACGCTGGACAGAACTGAATCCAATGATCGGGCTCGACACCTTCGTGTTGATCCAGGCAATCGCAACCTGAGCCATGAGCCATCCCTTCTTCTTCGCCAGCTCCTCGACACGGTTGATGATCTCCTTATCCGCATCAGACTTCTTCATCTCGAACGGTGTGCCTACGGCGGACGAAACGCGCAGAGAGGTCGCAGAGACGGGCTTGGCGAGTTGTCCGGCTGCGAGCGGGCCCCAAGGAATAAGCCCGATGCCGTGGTATTCGCAGTATTTGTTCATTTCGCGCTCTTCCTCTCGGTAGAGGAGAGAGTAGTGACCTTGCATAGAGATGAACTGTGTCCAGCCGTGCTTCTCCGCAACCTGGTTGTATTGTTGGAACTGCAATATGAATGCATTAGTGCGACGCTCGACGAGATGCATTACATGTTCGCACCTGCCACGTCCACATGCTGCTCGCCCCAATATATCTCACTTTCCCACTCTTTACAATATCATGCAGCGCCTCCATAGTCTCTTCAAACGTCGTATTAGGGTCATACCGATGAATCTGCAGCACGTCGATATAGTCCATCTGAAGGCGCTTGAGGGAGCCTTCGACCTGGTTGAAGATGGCCGTGCGTGACAGACCAGATTGGTTGACGTACTTCGCCTGGTTCTTCAGCTCGGGACGCCATGCCGTGCGAACGGAGCCGTCCATGTCCTCTGCGACCAAGTTAAAGCATTTGGACATGATGACTAGCTTAGACCGGGGAATGTTATACTAGTGTGGAGGTTCAGAGCAGTGCTCAATACTTCTGGAAGACCACCTCACGCACATGCTTGATAGCCTTCCCGATGATCCTTTCGCTCTCACCATTCGAGTAGTTGTTCGACGTATCCCAAGTGGTGATACCCAGGTCATATGCGCCCTTGAGGAGTGGAAGAGCCTGGTCCTCGTTGATGACCCAAGGCTGAAACCCATCAGTTCGACAGCACACAGATGTTCATGGGTTGACGTACCGCCGCATCCCACTTGTCTGAGCCGAAGCTCATTGCACCCAGGATCGGGACAGACACGCGCAGGCCCGACTTGCCCAGACGGCGGTATTCGACTTGAGGTGCCATCTCGTTCTGAACCAGCGATGATGGGTGGTCGTCGGTGGGAATGAAGAGGTCCGCTGGCTATGGCGACCAACGCGCCGAGATGCATTTAAGTCTGCCCATATCCCCGAAAGAGGTTGACAACACCTATTGATCGGCCCGCTGACCCTGTCAGGGAAGTTCGGTGTGGAGGTGGTTGACAGATTGTCTGCGAATTGTGGGGAACTTGCGGGCCTCCACAGATAGGCCAAGAAGTCCATCCCGGTGGTTACGGATGACCGAACTTTTCCCGAGGCATATAAAGGATTAAGAATACAGGCTCAATTTCATACATCAACTATACCGATTTCCTTTGTTTCATTGACATGCTTGAATCCAGTCTTACATGGAATATTGACAGACAGTAACAACCTTTACATAACATCTATACCATCTACGCCTCGTCCTTACCCAACACCTGATAGTTCATGTGCAACCCTCTCTTCTTCGCGATCTCCGCAGGCAAACAGTAGATAGGGTTGATCTCTCTCACATCCGGATGTCCAAGCAACGATAGACCACATAGGCCAAACACCGTGTGGAAAACATCCACCATATCCCCGGGCCTGTCTGCGATACCACCCCCATCCGGGTCCTGCGCCGAGAGAATAAACCTGATCAACGCATCCGAGTCGATCCACTTAAGCTTGTGAAGGATGGAGAGAGCTGAGAGTACCCAGAACGAGTAGCACACATCTTCCAGCTTTTCTGGGCGGCCGTTGAGACCCCCGTTGGGCAGTTGACGTTCAGCTAGCCACCAGGCCAGGTTCGGCTGATCGATCTCGTCTAACCGGTCCAGGATGGTCAACGCAGCCGTGCAGACAAAGACTGCAGCGCAATTAGCCAATATTTCCATCATATATGCGCCCATACACACCCTGTCCCGAATGACTCTCTGCGCCCTCGGTGGCCCCAAATCCCCCATCGTAGTTCTTGCACCGGCGAATATGGGCAACAGCCTTTTCCTTGTCGATCGCATCCAACCTTCCAAGGAGTTCGAGCGCCTGGAGAGTAATGTAGGAGAATCGTGTATCGGTCTCGCCCCATCGATCTCCGGAAAAGGAGCCAGAAGGATTTTGTCGGGCGGCGAGATCTGATTGCGCGTGAGCAGGAGGGGGAACACAAGCATGACAGTGCTTACAAGACACTAGACGTTCCTTATCAGCTCGTTCTACTTCATCGTACATCACCAAAATCTGTATTGATGACAATGTGGGCAGCACATGCGCATCATGTCCGGGATGCGCGCCAAATGCACCTGGACTTCCTTAGCATGTAGAGAGGTAGCACAGACATATCGGCACACCTTCATCATCATCCCAACAACTCATGACAAACGCAATCACGTCTTCCTTGACCAACGCCTCCGGATGCCCCATAATAAACAATGCTGTTAAGCCCCAGTAGATGGCGTTGAGGCGCAGATGTGCGGTCAGGTGGTACATGAGATCGTCCGTGTTCTATGTTGCCCGTCAATCGCATGAGTGATGGGGACGTCAAATCGCAAAGTACCTCGCCGAGAGACTGTATGTACTTGACATGTTTGTCGATAAGAAGGGCATCCATCGGAGGTAGAGAAGGTTGGTTCGACATGACTGTGACACTGATAGGCTCTGGAAGTCGAGGTGATCGAGATGAAGCGCGCAGCTTTCACGTGATAAAGATGGGCGCTTGTCTAAGACGAAGACGCGATCGGCATGGCACGCGAACAGTCACGTCGCTCCTCTTGTGTCTCCCACCTCTTTCTCTCTCTATGCACCATGGTGCTCGCAGCTGATGCAGGCATCAGCTTCAGTGAGACGTTCCTAGCGATTGTCGAATTCCGTACGTGCTTCCCTCTCCTGTCACTTGGTTTGAACTGACCAGTATGTAGTCGAAGCAGCCGTTCACACCATCCTATATCTACGACAGGTCTATCCACCAGAAGCTTTTGTTCGGAGAAAGAAATACGATGCACCTGTTTACCAGTCTCGACATCCGGGGCTAAATGAGTATATATCTGGAGCGTTGAAGGCGGTGAGAGACGAGATGATGCTGGTGCGTCTTCGCTTTTATCCGAGGAACACTGGCTGAGCATACAACAGGGACATGTGGACAAGGTCATCGTTGTTATCAAAGACGGGAACGATGTAGCACTCGAGAGATTCATATTTTCGGTCAAAGGCATGATCGAAGTACCTGTACAAGGGCGTGATGACCCGTAAGTGGCAGTTATGCGCGCATATATGCGACATCTGAACAGCGGCCAGGATCCAAGGTGCGATGAGCCCAGGGCAGCTAGCTGGATATTTTCGAAGCTTTCTCGTGAAGCTCGGTATGGTTGAGGGCACACTACGGGAGCTACCAATCGATGATGGCACCTCTTTCGCCATCGTTCTGGAGGTGCCTGAAGAGGCGCGACCAACGGCCTCTCAGCAAGGTGACCCACCACCATGGATGCCGGCCGTGCTGCAACATTCGTCGGAGGGTGTCGGAGATGATTCGAAGTTGCATGTTGTGAGGGCGCTGAACACGGGTGTCATTGATGTGAGTACACTTCGCTTTCCGCTACGAAGCTACCGTGGGACTAACGCTCTACAATAGCTTTCTATGATGGTACAGGAATCTGAGGCGAAGCTGCATGGTGCTCGACGGAAGGAAAAGGGCAAAGGACGAGCAACCGATGAGGATTAACACGATGGACGAGGTACTGTAACCGTCAATGTATAAGTATCATGGAGACTATAATAACAGCATGCAAGGTATCATGTCGTACACGAGAGAACGGAGCTCATACTTTAGAAAAGCTTCTCCACCGGATCAATAACAGTACCCATCTTCTTGACCACTTTCGGCACCGTAAGACGTTGATGCGTAGTCCGGGTATTCCACTCGCTTCCCACTGGCTGCTCGATCATGCGCTCGAACTGCCCTTGGCTGGTATATGGCCACGGCAGGTCTTTGACCTGGTACTTCGCGCCCTTCTTGTCTCGCTTCTCGTTGATAATAACATTCTTCTTCCCGGCGTCCTCGCGCTGCGTCGGCAGAACACCTGGGATACTCTTGATAACCTTGCGCTTCGGTGGCCGGGTGCCTTTCCCTCCCCAGCTACCCCAGCCTGGAAGTGTAACGTCTTCCTCCCGAGGAGCGTCAGCTTCCACTTCGCGCTTTTTGGCGACTTCGAACTCCTTAACAAGCCAGTCAGTGGCCATTCCGATACGAGACGTTGAGATTCACCTCAATAACGTTATCCCCCGCAAAAGCTTGAGCGACAAGTTCTCTTTGTGTAAAGGCAGCGGTGGACTTGACGTTTGCCTCATCCTCGCTGTCCTCATCCTTGTACGCTTCATCAACGGTGGCGATTTGGGCTGTTGATTTCGCTTTCTCTGCCTTCTTGCCCTTCGCTTTTTTCTGGCCGGCGGCAGCCTTCGTTTCCTTGCCCGTATCAACCTGAAGCAAGTCATTCATGCTGATCTCGACCCTCGCTTCGTCTTCCCGCTGTTTCTTGGACGCGTTGGTCTTGGCCAGAACACCTTTCAACGCGGCCTGGCTCTTCTCAGCCGCGGTGCTGTCTTTGGTGAGAGCATGGTTCTTCTTGCTCGTAAGCTTGCTAGGGCCTCCTGCTGCGAGCCAGGGATTTGCAGAAGATCCGGTTGGGCGAGGATCCGGCACAACTTCGTCATCGGACAGCGAGAGCGCAACAGCCTCAGTGACATCAAGGACTGCGCCAGGCAGTGCGTCACTAGTTGGCGCCTGAACGACAGCGCCTGGACCGAATACTCGTCTTCCCTTGTTCCCACCAACAAGCACATACGCCTGCCGCTCATCGTCGTCGTCTTTCTCTTCCTGTTGTAACTTTCCTGAGTCGGCACCCATCCGCTCCAGCTCAAGGACGAAGTCATCCTGTTCCCTACGCACGCGCTGTGCATCTTCCGCTGCAGCATGTTGCATGAATTTCATAGACATGATGCCCTTGTGATTGCCGGTGTTTTCCGCCGCATCTTCCGTTTCCAGCGCAGCCAGCTCGTCGAATGCTTTCCGGCGTATCGTGTCGTCGTCATCGTTATCATCGTCTTCGCTCTCGCTCTCGTCCTCGCTTTCACATCGACCAAGGATCTTCTGCCGCAGTTGCTCACTTCGCTCCAGTTGCTCGTTCATCTCACGTCTCACATCGATGTCCATCTCTCCTCTGGCAAGCATTGCTTTCGCCCACTTGCCCGTATTCTTGTGCCGTTGTGTTGCCCGTTCAAGCGCACGATCCCGTTCTAGCTCTCTTCTCTTCTCCTGGCCGTCCTCGCCGGCATCATCCCCATCTGGCAACAATCCAGCCTCCTCGAGAGCCTGTCGCTCCTTCTTCTCTCGTCGTTTCTGTAGTCGATGGTATGCCTTGCTCTTGATCTTCGCCACTCGATGGGCTTTCAAGTCCGCTCGAAACATGAGTTCCCTCATCTGCCTGAGCTCTTTTCTCCTGGCCAAAACCTCCTCCTTGCTCAAATGTGCCATACCCAACTCCTCCGTCTTCAGCACATCCTCTTCCCGCAGCTCGGCAGCCTTTAACAGCCTATCCACCGCGGACTCCATCTCATTCGATGGTTTGAAGCTTGAGGCGAGTGATGCGTTCGTCTCCCGGGGCACGGGCTCAGACTGTAGAGGGAAGGACAGGTGCTCTGCTTCGCGAATACGACGCATCGTCGGAGCCCACTTTTGGACTTCGGTCTTGGTGGCCTCGTATGCTGCTTGCCGATCAAGTTTCTCTTGTGCGCGCAGAGGGAGAGGGGCAGAAAGCGGAGCAGCCGCCTTGTCTGATGTCAGGGCTTTGGTCGACTTTTGCAAAGAGAGCAAATCTGCCGCTCCAGCTTCTTGTGATAAAGGAGCCAGTAGATCCTGCAGCTGTAGCTTCTTTCTCCCTGCATATAATCGTGAGTTCTCAAGGTCAAGCCTAGACACGCAGGACGCACCCTGTTGTACCCCACTAGGTACTGCGAACTCGTTCTCCGGTCCAGCCTGACTAGTCTCAGGGAGAATACGACGTTTCGCCTTGCGCGCTTCCGGCTGGTGTTCGACATCATCGTCGTCAAGCTTGCGCTTGCGACTGAAGCTGTCGATGAAGGAAGACAGCTTGGCAAGATCACCCTCATCATCATCGTCATCGTCATCGTCTTCTGCGGTGTCTTTTCGGTCCTCTTCCTCCTCTCCCTCATCGTCCTCGTGATCCTCTTCCATGTCGTCTTCTTGTTCTGCTCGTTCGTCATCTTCGCCTGGCTGCGTGAGTAATACTCTTGACTCCTCTGTGCGTGCGTGACTTGACATTGGACCCTCATCTCCGTCTTCGTCCTTGTCGTCCTCTTTATCTCCATCATGGCCATCGTCAAGCACTCTTGATAGGTCCATGAAATCGCCGTCGTTGCCTTCCATATCGTCATCATCATCCTCCTCTTGGTCGTCATCCTCATCGTCGTCCCCACTATCTATATCTTTCTCATCCCCAAATCCGCCAAAGGTGTCCACATCTTCATCTAAATTAATGAGGGGTCCAGCCGTAGATGCTTTCTTGGATACCTTTTGGGCAGGTTGAGCCTTCTTGGCCGCCGACACCTACTGGACCTTAGCGAGTGGTGAGGACAGACATGGAGGAGAACCGACCTTCTTCTTGTTACTGGAAAAGTTGAAATTAGCGAATCCTTCCTCGTCACTGTCGCCCTCAAACGCTTCATCAGAGTCGATTTCCTCATCATCGCCGCTCCCAACGATCCCGTCCTCATCATCCGCTGGCATCCTGAACTGAGGTGGTAGCCGCACGCCATCTAGATCATCTGCCTCCCCTCTCCCCAACTCTTCCTCATCTCTGTCCAGTTCCTGCCGAACGGACAAACGACGATTCTTCGCTTGCGCAAACTCGTAGACATCGAGTGTTGATGTTTTGTTGCCCCTGCTGGCAATACGCTTTACTGCACCTGCAGCGTTGAATTTTCTCCTATCGGAAGCTTTAGATGTGTTGGGACGGTGTCCGAGGGAGCGACCAGTGGAGCGACCGCCTTTGGCCATTATGTGAGAGATGGTCAAGAGACTACGCCGTGAGCATTTACAGTTGCCAATAATTTCTGCTAGGGTCCTTTCCTAATTTGGATATGCTGAAAATTCTGCTTCCGACAACATTACGCGCTTCTTCTGCTGGGCCACTTTCTGAACTTCTGTGACCTCCTGTATAGAGTATTACAACATGTCTACTGCAACGGATGAGGTACTCGAGGTGAATTGTTCAACTAAAAATGTTATGAGACGCTAACATCATGCTATTCTTGCCGACGAGCAGAAGGAGCTAGCTAGCTTCATCGAGCAGGAGAGCGCCCGGTCGCAGGTGCAAAGCAGCATCCATACGCTGACGGACATGTGCTGGAAGAAGTTAGCACTTTTCATTCAAGTCTGAATTACTCTGTCTGATTGTGAGAATAGATGTGTGGGGAGTTCTATTGGTGGCCGGTTTTCGAGGGGAGAGGAGACGTGCCTCACCAACTGTGTCGACCGGTTCTTGGACAGCAGCTTGTTTATCATCAACAAGGTCGAAGAGGCTCGAAGACAGGCTGGTGGTGCATAATCTCTTTGGGAGATGAGATGAGCGTTGCTGGATAGTGTCTCGGTGAGATTTCCACTCGAATGTAGCAGGGCTAGCATTGACCACTGACAGGGCCGATCAACGCAGGCTGCCAAAAGTCTGGGACATGTGCCTTTCTATTAGGACGCACCACCATATACGTATCGCACCATGTATATATCGAATGAGGATGCATGTTCTCCTGCAACCTAGTTATCTGACTTAAGTTCTTCAACACGGTCCGTCGGTTTTAAATAAATTGCGGATTGGATCAACACCGGAAAGTACAACTGACAATGAGGACAAACCATGAACAATGCGAATGAGTTACTTGAAACGAATTGGAAAGAAGACTGCAAGATTGTAAGGGTTGGTGTGCTCTATGGAGTACGCGTACTGTACATTAACTGGGATCCACCGAGCCAAGTGGCGGGAATAAACAACTGATTATATACCAACAAATTAAAGGACCGAAGGTATGTTGAATATGGGTAGAATGATGGGTGTAGCCGTAAGCGCGAGTTCAGCGAGAGAGAGCGTGATATACAACGGTGCGCGCTGGCGCGAGGGTACACAACCGGCCTGGGTAGAGAGGCGGGAATACATGTGGTGGGGTATATATACTGGTGTGCTGGATGGCGGCGCTCAGTAATCGCGAATGACACATTCTTTTGCGATGCTCTCGAGAGCCTCGACGACGACTTGCGCGTTGGTGAGTAGTGAATGCCCTGCACCTTGCACAAGTTTAACTTTGCAGTCGGTCATAGCGCGCTCCATCCATCGCACGCTGTTGATACTGATCTTTTCGTCCTTCTCGCCATACCACACTAGCACGGAATGTCGGACGTCGGTGTATGAGAAGCCCCATGGCTTAGAGTCACGCTCTAGGATGGCGAGCAGGTCTGCTGTTCCACCCTTGAGCGACTCGGCATGTGATGCACGGACAAGGGCATCAGCGAGGGTGATGGCCTTGCCTGGTGCCTTAGGCGGGGGCGCAGTTGGCGACGTGTTGGCACGCTGCATCAAGGGTGCGGCCAGTGCGCTTGGTCCACCATTGCGGCTGCTATTCCGGGATGTCAGCGAGATTGACCTCCGACCCAGACCAGCGCGGGGGTTGATCGTCGGGGGGCCGTCGCTTTTCCTGGTCGGCAAGGCGCCAGTCATAGCATACTCTTCGAGAATGTCGAACTTGATGCCCAAGCCGACGTCATCTGGTTCGATAGTGGGCAAATTGAGCGACGGAAGAGTGCTGGTCGCACTCATAATCGACTGTCCGGCATTGCTGTGCCTGCGGCCGGTAATGAAACTGCCTCGGGAACCCTTTGGCAAAGTCGAAGTGGTGGAGGATGGCGTTTTGGGTGAGATGCCACCATTATGTTTGTTGCCCCGGAATATACTCATAATTCCTTTTGATGTCTTGTGCTTCACGACACCTTTGGGACTGACGTCGCTCGAGGTTGGTGGGGTGGGAGGGATAGGAGGGAGTGAGCTGATACCATTGATCGTGGCTTGAAGACTTGTACGACTGCTGAACCGGCCATCAAAGTCAGCAAGGTCGTCATAGTCGCTGAACTGGAAGCTCTGGCGATCGTCCACACCGGTCGAGGCGCCGGTAGCGGCGTTGTATCCAATAGCCTGGTATTGGATCGTTGGCGGCTTGCCGAGCCTCCAGCCTTGCACCTTCCACTCCGCGGCCTGGGCGGTCTTCAGCAGTCCATTTGGCACATACTTGAGCCACTTGTAGCCTGTTCATCACGTCAACACGACATCCCACACTGGATCAAAAGATAACTTACCGCCTTCGACGGTGGTACTGACCCACGGGGCCAGCAGGTGGATGCTGCCAGCAACCCTCCTACCAAGCCTCAAAGCCGTGGCAAGGCTGTACGGGGCTCCAGCGGAATGTGCCAACATCGAGAATTCAGTAATATCCATCATGTCCGCAACTTCTTCCATGACGGCGGCCCATTCAAGTAAGCCGCGTTTCTCCGCAGGGACGTCGTCTGTCTTACCCAAGCCCCAACGGTCGACGCACACAAGCCGGAGCCCAAGCGCTTCAGCCATCTCGTCGTACAGACCGATGATGTAGCGTACACAGCCGAGGCCGAGGAAGACGAACACCGGGTGGCCGGTTGAGCTGCCCACATCGGCGAGGGAGACGGTGAGCCCGCGGTGCGGAGAACGCTTAAGCGTCAGCAGCTTAGTATACCTTGGAGAGCGCAGTTGTTGTGCGATGGCGAGGTTCTCCGAGCTTGCACCTTTGGCAGGCGCAGCTGGGATGGGGAGGAAACTTGTCCCAGCAGGGAAGTTTGAGTCGACGCTAGGCGAGTAGCTGTCGGTCTGGGGCATTGACGGTTCCCCGGTAATCTGGACGCGGGACTGGATCGCACTTGCAGGTGGCTCTGAGGCAGACTTGCCTTTGTTGACGTACGGCTTCGCCTCACGGTCTCTGGCACTACCGTCCTCTGCAAGCTGGAGAGTACGCCGGACCTCCTCGGCGATGCTATCAAGTGAGGAGCGGTGGCTGAGCTCGGCCTCCTCAGGCACCTCTTTCTGCGGGGAAAGCATCCTCCCTGCCCCACTGGCAACAACGGATTGCGCAGTGGTACTCCCCCGCGGGGAGGCGAACGAGCTCTGTTTGTTGAGGGCAGGCCCATGGGTGCGTATGATCTCGCTGATAGTTGGAGGAAGGGACTTCCTAGACGCACCTGGGCCAGTACTAGAGTTACCGCCAAAGCCGCTATCGTACCCTGGCGAAGTAGGAGGCGAGGAGATAGAAGGCGAAGGGAGGGGCTCGAGGGAACTGCCAGAAGTGCGGATAGGTGCAGGAGCAGGAGGGGCGAGCTTGCGCGCATCCGACTTTGGTGGGAGAGGCGGGGCGGGAACCTTTGGTGCTTGGGAGGGAGGCAGGTCACCACCGGGGGAATCACCCCTCCGCACCAGGGCACCGATGTGCTCGAAGCTGAGGTTTGTCACTTCCGGCTCTGGCACGGTGAGGGAGTTCAGCTCCGCCACAGGGCGAGATCGCGGTAGTCCTTGCTGTTCCTCGCGCGGCTTCCGCGGCGTCGAGGGCACAGTCCTAATGCTCGGCATAGCAGGGCTGGGGAACGGTACAGCGCTCTTGCCCTCCTCCTTCAGCCCTGGCAAGATGGGGAGGGCATTGGCAGGGGTAACAGGCGAAGCCGGGTCGTCGGACAAGCAACGGAGGTCAGAAACGTCCCGCTGGAATTGGGCGTCGCGCCTCTGCCTTGGGGAGAGGGGCTCGGGGGACTGCGCAGACACGGTACGACGCGGGTTCTTGCTGTCTTTACGCCGGGTGCGGTCTTCTTCCCGCTCCTGGTCGCGTTTTGTCTCGGGCTCGGGCTTTGCAGCACGTTCCTGAGGCGGGAGGATCCCATTCGCTCGTGTAGGAACGACCCCATTCACGCCTCCTGCTGCGGACGGAGGAGGTACACCATTAGGCGCACTAGCCACAGGAGCAGCAGGAGCAGAATTGCTAGCAGCAGCCGCCTCCCGCCTTCTCCTCCTCCTGACAGGCTCCGTCAGTTCCCTAGTCTCCAAGTGCCTGTCCCATTCGTCGCTCGCTGCAGGCCTGAGCCTGCTCTGGGAGCGCGAATGCGAGCGGGTCAAGCCTGGTGTTGCGTCGCGGTGTGAGTGCAGGTTGGACTGGGAGTTGGAGTTGGAGTGTGTGCGTGAGTGCGAGTGGTGCGACGCGCTCGGAGGATGGGAGTAGGACGCGTCCCTACTGTGGGTCCGCCGTAGGCGAGAACTAGATCGCGTAGTTGAGAGTACGGCGTCGGCCTCCCTCTCGCGTTCACGTTCACGGTCGTGTTCTGCCCTCACAGGCTCGCGCGACCTCAGCCTGCTGGGAGACCTCGCCTCCTGCTGCTGAGGCCTGCCTTCGTGCGCCTGGAGTTGGAGAGCAAGGGCTTCCTCGAACTTCCTCTTCTCTCTCCTCCTCTCCCTCTCCCGTTCTTTGTCCTTCTCGACAAGCCGATCCCTTTCTCTTATACGTTCCCTCCTTTCGCGGTCCTTGCGTTCCTTTCTCGCCCTCTCCCGTTCCCGGTCTCGTTCTTTATGACCCTTTTCGCGCTCCCCACGAGCACGCGTGCCCTCGCTCACCAATTCCCGTTCTTGAGGTGGGCCAATACTGTCTTCGCTGATCGCTCTCTGGCGTCTGCCGAGTGTAACACCCTCAGGCGGTTTGGGCAACGGTGGTGCATACAGGTACCTCTCATATCGCGCCCTCTCTCTATCCGCCCTCCTCCTGCTGTTGGGGCTGAACGACTCTCCCAACCCACTTGCACCAGAGACACCTCCGTTCAACGAGTCGACGAGCGCGTCCATCGCCTCGACACTATTAGGAAAAGGCGCTGTGATTTTTCCCGGGTCTGGGAGAGCAGCGAGCACGGGAGTGGCAGGGATGGTTGATGCGCTGGAGTCTGAGTGTTCGGAACGATGGAGTGGGAGAGGGGAGAAGGAACTACGTCCTTGACTCCCTGAGCCGGCGGAGCGGTAACTGCCTGCTGGGGGAGCGAGTGTCGTGGGCAGACGCGATCCCCAAGGGTGGTAGGAGGTTCGTTCTGATTGACCAGGAGATGAGGGGGCAGACGCTGCTCCGCGTTCTCGCATGTATCGTTTGTGTACAGGAGGTCCGTCGCTCCTCAGCTCGGAGGAGTCGTACGCCCTTCCTTTGGGGTGTGCAGGAGCGGAAGCAGCAGAAGAGCGCGACCCGGCAGAGACGGTCGTTAGCCTTGAATCCGACATTCGGGAATTACTCCTCCCCTGACTTGGGGGATGTTTGTCCAAGTACCCAAGGCGTGGGCTCCCGAGTTGTGACGCCGCCGGGGTGGATATGCTCGCCTGTGAGTTGGTATTCGAGTTTGGGGATTTTGAGCGGTCGCGAAGGGAGGCGGTAAGGCTGGGGATGTCGAGCGTGTCGGGGGTGCTGCCTAACCTGAAGTTGGTGAAGCGTTTGAGGGAGGAGGTTGAGCGGCGGAAGGCTGATCGAGAGCCGGGGGGATGGTCGTCCATCTCTGGAAGGAAGGAAGTGTGGGATGCCATTGGGTATTGGATGGAAGGAGTGGGGGGGTATCGTCGTTGTCGTCGATGTTGCTGCCGTTGTCGTCCTCGTCGTCGTCGTGGGTGGAGGATGTCGAGGACGGTGTAAAAGACGGTGAGGACGTTGACGGCGTCCTCGCCCGTTGGTGACGATGGGATGGGACTGGAATGTGCACTCAAAACGGCACTTCAAAGTCAAAAGTGAAAATGCTCCCGTAAAAAGAAGACATTTCAACTTTGAATTATTGTATTTCCATTACTGTTCGAAGGGTTTATTCACCTCATGTAAATTGTATCCAAGCAACGAGTCTTGTGGCTATCTATCTTCTCAATCAGATCATCAGCCAACTCATATACAATCCATGCAAATCACTCCAGGAAATATCCTCATCCTCACCTCATCCTCACACCCACAGACGACCAACAGTCCAGGCACCTCAATCCCTGGAATTCCTCGATAGAAAACCTTCATCAAAGAACCGTCCATGGGGTGCACCCGATTCGCTCCTCTTTTCCCCCTTAGAGCTCTATCCTGCCTATCACGTTGATACGCCGCCCTCCTCAGGGGACGAAGGCCGACAACCGCACTGACACTTGCAGCCATAGTCTAACTAAAACTGACAACCGCTACATCCTTTCTTTGGTTAACGACTCCGGCTCCTGTTCGAACTCCCTTCTCGGTCGTCCGTTGTCAGTCCCCGTTGTTAGTCTTCCCTTATCCGTTGTCAGCTGTCATTTTCCCTCTTACGGAACCCGGTTGTCGCTCACCATCCGCGGGCAAACACTTGCCAAACGCATACCGGAGATCCGACCTTTCTTGTCCGAGTTGCTGATTAGAAATCCAGAATTTGCTCCATTTCCCCCCCCTGCCGGCGGGATCACGTTTTGCATTTTCATCCGAATACATCGGTATTTCGTTTCTCCCAAAAGCTGGTTCGGGTCCATTAGCTTCATACCGGTTTCTGAATATGCCTCCCGTGTGCGGATACCACACCATTGCCCGATCGTACCCTCCCTTGCACTAAAGTGCAGTAATCATACGGGAATTGCCTCGGTCACCGAAACACCCTTTATGTACATTCTCTGACACCCAACTCAATTGCAAGACATTGTAGTCGGTAGCACGTGAAGAAGCAGCAAATGAAAGCCATAAAAGCGCCCGTGGGAACGTGATTACTTCAATTGAGGTGCCGCGTCACGGGGTGTGCTCCGTCCCTCGCTCCCACCATCATCCGGTTCTTTCATCCCACACGGGAAGTGCATACTCCGTGCGAGATCAACCTGGCGTTTTCGTATGGCGTGTTAGTGATTGCAGGATGATTTCTACAAAGGACGTCGTTCAGCGTCAAAGAACGGGTGTTGGGAATCGAGTATGGTACACCCGAACGACAGAATGGAATCACACGTTGTTATACAATGCTGATGGAAAAGAAGGCTTAAGCATTGGACGCACGAGAAACAGAGAAACAACGCGAAGGAGACATACATGATAATGTTAATAACTCGGATTATGTCGCACAAACGGCGAATCTTCCAGAGGAACGTTAACCATCCGGGGCACTCGATGCCTCTATTGTCATTCTCCATCTCTTCCCACGTCCCCTGCATCTCCTTCTAATGCATGGCCGAGTTCGACAGCATCTTCCTCAACCTGATCCTCAGGTACTTGTAGTCGCCAATCAAGCACTCTGGAATTGACACTGTTCTTTCCTCGACCATGGTTGACCATTGCTTCATCCACAGAGTTTGTTTCGCCATTAGTGTCGTCATGGTCGTCGTTGTCACTACCGAAGGCAAGACGAAGCCATTCTTCAGCCGGTACAGGTCGAATATTAGCCCAGACGTCGCTCTCATTATCGACCACAACTTCAGAGGTGGGTTTATCATACCCCCTGGAAGGCTCTCGACAACCTGATGTCCTCCGGGGTATTTTGGCATGACGCCCGCAGCCAGCGGGCTTGCCATCCCCACCCGCAGCAAGGTCTCCGCTGTCATTCCCATTGTCGCCTCCTTCATCATTCCCAGTCCCAGGGCCGCCATCGTATGGACCTTCATCAGGACGACCGTGTCCGTCCTCGCTGTCCTCTCTTTTGCGCTTCTTTGAGGATCGTTGGGGTTGAGAATTGGGACGCGAAAACCACTGGTCAAACCGCCATTCCCGTCGCCGAAGCCGAAGCGCAGCATCCACTTCCTCGGTTGTGATCACTTCAGGCCGACTGAGTAGCATTCTTTCAAGCTCCACGCGACCACAGCACTCTACGTTAGAGAGGAAGAAAACGCCTTTCCACCAGTGCTGTATCCATGTCATGTCAAGGGTGTCACATAGGAAGACGTGTATGCCCTGAGGAAAGTTGTAAGAAAATCCATCGACGATACCTCGCTTGACTTACTCTGCGATCATCCTGCACGCACCCCAGGATCCGAAGCTCTGACACATTAGCGACGATGGCAAAAGCGACCTGGTCATCGATCCCCAAAGCCGCCCAGTGTCGCTGCATGGTTGCTAAGATGAAAGAGCTTGGGCCGCGCCGACAGCTGGGTTCTCATTGAATTGAAGCGTGAGGATAATGATGCGAATGTCCAGTTTAGGCAGAAGTATGGTGCCCTGTGCTCTTCGTTTATGATGTTTTGGTAGTGGTCGGCAGTAATTGGCTTGGTTGCAGAGAGCCATGATAAGCGCCGTCGGGGTCAGGGAAGGAAGCAAACCCAAAATCCTTTCCTAATAAGGGAAGATAATAGAGCGCCCGTGTGAGGTGCCGCGTCATCTTGTGTGCGTGATCGGGGACGGGCAGGTCGGCGTGTCGTGTCATCGTCCATAGCGTCCTGTTCGTTGTCCTCACTGTCCTTGGCATCGCCGTCTGGTCTCCCGTCGCTCCTCTCAACGCGCTCTCCAGATAGCGATGTCCCCTGCATCGCGGAGTGAGCTCTCATCCCTCCCCATCAAGTCCACATCCAACAACACGCCCATCCCACGTTCTCAGCTATACAAGCTCCCCATCAGTGAACGGCAAGCTCAATTCCAATGGCTTCCTGCAATACTCTTTGCCAACATCTACAACTTCGGATGTCTCTCCATTATACTCACGCAGTTCATCGTCTGGCCTCTCGCGCTCTTACCACTGACGAAGAACCTCTATGACGATATCATCGACTGGACTAAGGGCAGCTTCGCTCTTCTGTGCAGTACGTCCCCCTGTTCACAAAAGTACTGTGCTTACTAGAGTTCTGCGTAGTGTGCGTTATACAGTGGTTCGCCCCTGTTGAACTCGTGATCACTGCGGACGAGGGGATGAATTTGGATGCTATATGCGTCAGGAACGACAAGGGGGAAGTGGTTGAGCTCCGCCTACCCCAGAAGTTCGTATGTATCGCCAACCACCAAGTACGCTCCCCTTCCCTCCCCCCGGTTTTCTAGTGCCAAGTGCTAAATAATCGCAGTGCTACCTCGACTGGATGTACCTCTGGTGCGCCCTCTACTTCGCCCATGCCCATCAGCACATCTATATTATCCTCATGGATCGATTCAAGTGGATCCCCGTCCTCGGGTGGGGGATGCAGTTCTACAGGTTCATATTCATCACTCGGAGCTGGGCTGCTGATCGGGTATATCTGGCACGCAAGTTACTCGAGCTAGGGAAACATGCGATCAAGGCTGCGCAGCCGTTTGTTCTCCTGATCTATCCAGAGGGGACCTTGGTAAGCGACGAGACACGCGCGAAAAGCAGGCAATATAGCGAGAAAGCAGGGATTGTGCGTCTGCGTTCCTCCTACAGCTGCAAGCGCTGATGACAACCCATAGGCAGATATGGTCAACATGTTGCTCCCACGCTCGACAGGGCTGCTCTTCTCCCTGCGGACGCTCGCACCATCTATCCCTAACCTTGCTGTGGTAGACTTCACAGTCGGCTATGCTGGAATTCCTCCCGCCGGATATGGGCAAGACTTTTATACCCTCCGATCTGTGTTCTTTAACGGCATCTCACCACCGACACTGCATTTGCATATACGGATGTGGCAGGCTAAGGACCTCCCTCTGGGAGACATGTCCGACAGTGCAACCCGAGGCGCCGAAGCGAGCCAAGAAGAGAAGGACATGTTTGATCGATGGCTGCTAGACCGGTGGCGGGAGAAGGACAGGTGGATGGATGGGTTCTACAAGACGGGCGAGTTTTCCAATTCACAAGGACGGTATACGCGCACACTGGAGGTCAAGAACCCGTGGGCGATCGCGCAGGCGTTCTCGTATGGCGTGCCGGTGATTACGGGGTGGTTGCTGTACAGAACTTTCGCTTGAGTTGTCTTACCAGGGTGGACGAATCGAGCTTAGCAAACCTGTATTATAGACTTTTCAAACGCTACAAATCATCATCCTTTGATTTGTTCGATATCTCCGAAGAGGTGAACACAGATTGAGCCTTAGGTGACTGGTGATAAACGTAGCGAAACAGTTGTATCGGAGTACAGGATAATGTTGACGGTTACAGTATAAAATGCAAACATAGGCCGTGAACTGGCCTGTCACGTTGAATTGATCATCATGGCCTCCCTCGCCCTTGGGACGCTTTAACACTTCCCATTACCATTCTCTTTCACCTCTTCCCAACTGTCCTGCAACTCCTGCAACTCTATTCCCGCACTCTTCAGTACATTCCTCAACCTCTCCCGTTCTCGCCGAAGGTCCCTCACCTGCCCCGCCAACTCCCTCACTTCTTCTCCCAAGCTGCTCGCTTGTTTGAGTAACACGTTCTTCCTAAGCTCGAGGACGCTCCTTTGTTGCTGAAGATATTTATAGGAGCTCGGTCTGGGACTTATAGGAGTGCCTTGCAGGAGAAGCTCGTCTTCGGAGGATAGGGTAGAGTTGGCTATGCTGGACGTGGAGAGAAGGCTGATGTCCCCTAGGCTTGGGTCAAAGATGCTCGCGAGTGTGCTGTTGGGACTTGGGCCACTTGGAGTGATAGGAGAGTTCAGATCGCTGTCATAGGGAGGAGAGAGCTTGTCCGAGCTAGTACTCGACGCGTTCGTAGCGCTAGAAGGAGATGATATGTTCGAGTTGTGCAGTTGGTGAAGCACGAGATGCGCCAGCCCCACGAGCGCCGAAAGGAAAAAGCAGGTGAACGAGGCCGTGATGAGGACATGGTCAAGTTTGGCGAGCTCGGTATTCGTCGTAAGCGCCATTACTTTATGAGAACAGATGGTATGCAGAGAAAAGGGTATAAGGCGATATGTCCTCTGGTAGGATGGAATCAAGGTCCAGTATATTAATGGCAACTCACGCCTTCGGGGAGAGGTAACACGGCGACGACGCGCCGCGTCCATATGGCTCACACGCGTATTGGTGCTTCTTTCCTTCTGACAAGACTTATTATTGTAAGGCGTGTAGGAAAACAAGATTTTGGAATAGTCGGATAATAATCCTATGCGATCTAGCCTGGATTTACTTATACTCTCCGTGCATTTCCAACTCGATCCCCGGTCTCTTCAATATCTCTGTCAATCTGTCCGTCTTCCCACTCGGCACCCTCAACTGACTGCCAATCAAGACCGGCAGAGAGACTCCGACTACGTCACACCATTGCTCAAAGAGCTCGTTTTGTGCGAGCTTTCTGGCTGCCAAATTATGCAGGGACATATGCACAAAAGCACAGACTTCTGTGAGAACATATCCATGGACATGTTGAGGCGGCTGGGTGGGAAGGCGATGCATGTGAATTTGGTCTTGGCGTGGCGTTTTCCGAGTTGATTCGTTCAGACCCTTAAATAAGCTTCTTCCAGTTCTCATAATTACCACACGCACATCCCCTCTCTCACAAATATGTCCTATGCGCCGAGCATCACTGTCAGTAGTGTTGCCCGTGATACCCATCTGTTTGAAGAATGGTGCCACCTCGCCGGCGTGGTGCTACACTATCAGCTCGACGATCTCATCACTTCGCCAATCGCTGGAGGACCGCGTCATACTCCTGCTTCAACTCAGCCATCTGGCCCTTCCAGATCATCTTCCGAAGTTCTCCAAAAACGGATGAAACATATGCATACCTTGAAAACGAAAGTCAAGGAGAAATGTGCAGAGTTATGTAGTGGACGTCTTCCACGGAAGCTGAAGACGGTGAGAAACTTCGATGTTACCGTGTTACGTCTACGTCACTCGCGCGATAGGAGGAAATCCCACCGACAAGTCGATATCGCGGACCCCGTCGAAACCTACTGCGCGAAGAAACCAAGACCTTGGACGACACCTGGTTCTCTGCCACCGAAATTGAAGATGGCTGTCATATCCTCGACAGATTGCCGGAGCTTGAGCGGATATTCGGCCAGATCAGCGCGACAGCTGAGTCTGGTGACGTGAATGGCGGTATTATCAATGAGGCGACAGCCCGGATGCCCTGGGATTATCTCCTACAGCTCATTCAAATGCGGGAGAGCCTCGAAGATGGAACTTTCACCAAATTTTCGTACGTGCACCTGGTGGAAAGATTTTACCACACTAATACAGTGCATAGTAGTGAAGTATTGATCGAGACCTGCAGTCCGCGCAGTGAAGATGCCGATGCCTCCCTCCTGGACCGGTCAGGTACCGACAAAGGGTATCCCACTTGTGCAAGAGGAGATGCCATCCTCGTTTATCACCCTTCCACGATGATTCGAGCTGGAGTATCGTCTGCTCTCGAGGACGCCACCGCTTCACAACGGGATGAACTGTACTTTGCTCACCTCTGCAAAAGAGTCGGCGTGTCTTTCATTCTACTCGCTCTTGTGTGGAAGCTCAATCACCCGGCTTTCAATGCTGCCCAGGCTGTATTCACTCTAGCTACGATGCAACGGCAACTTGCGGCATTCGGCATCAACGACCAGGTTTGCTTTGCTGTCGTCGGGAATCTTACCGAGTTCCGGGTTCTGGGATGCGTGCAGGACGACACTGGCGTAAGTCATGTTGAACATCGTCACAAGTCTAGTTCACAAGCCCTCATCAGAGAATCCGAGTCTTCCTATGCGATGCGTTGGATATGAAAATGGTCCACCACTGGTGGAAATTTAACTTTTTCCTTTTCAACCTGGAGCAATGGGGCCGGGTGGATCTAGAACGCATTCTTGACACCACGTTACTTAAGTTATGCGAGGCGAAGGGGCATGAGCCTTCTTTCGGCTTTCCACAAGCAGCATGGCGTTTTGATCTTTGGCGTGCCCGTCACGGTGCACATTCTCGATCAACAGATCGATCACGTTCTAAGAAACGGAAAAGAGAAGATACTGAGGATGGCGATGAACTTCCCACACAGGATCCCGGCGACGAGGATGGCGACGATGGTAGAGCTATTCACCTTCCTGGAGCGAACAACGCCGATATTATGGAGAGAGTATCGTATTGGCGACTAGAAGCATCTCAGGGCGTCTGGCAGCCGGTTGAGGATGTCGAGCAGGTAGACGGACAGGTTGACAAAAGCATTGAAGAAGGTGGAGATTGAACTTTGGGAATTTTAGGGGAGTCGGGAAACGAAGGAGGAGGATGGGAATAAAACGGCAGGTGTTGAATATCGGGGCGAGGGAGACTGTGTTCGATTGTACGAAGTGAGACATTCTCAGCCTTTGTATCCATGCTATACTTGTGAGTATGTATTTCTCAACCACCGTTTCCCCCCATTTGTTGTAACTCGCCTTCATGAGACACCTTTTCCTCTACCTGGTGTATTTTCCCTCTTTACAGTATCGCACAACTCAAATATAATGCTGGTAGCCACCAGACACGGCACCGATCAAACGCCTTGTACAATTTTTGTTAGCCCCGATCTAAGATGATGATCGGACTTATTATTATTGCGGCGTTAGGGTTCCGAGCTCCGTGCACAGCCGCCGGCCAAGATTCATTGCCGTGAATTCGTCCGACTCACCGTGACACCTCACCTTTCATCCAATCATCGCGTCTTGCCTTAGGTTCTTCCATGCAGACTGACCGTTGTCATACTTTCATCGACTGTTGCTGCTGCTTGTTTTCTTCTGCGTCGACGGAGGGCGTGCCGAGCCAGGTTGCTTGCTAACTCACTACAGCCGAATCCAAGACTATCCACCAACCAACTCGTCATCGTCACCAGGGGTGCGGAGACCGGGACGGCATTAACCGGGCGTGGACGTACCGATCTTACACAAGAACCTCAGAAACGAGCGTTACAACACGGGACTCGCTGGTAGAGGCGCATATACGAAGCTTAGGGGTGCGAGGCGTCCCGGTGCTGGAGTAGGGCTCGGCTGCAGGAGGTCGTTCGCCACAAAGGCTCGTCACGTCTCGATTACACTGTTGACGCCCGCATCTATCTACAAGAATCAAGTCGAGAACACAATATAGAGAAGCGTTAACGACCTACCGGCCTCGCGCCGCGTTTCCCCACCTCTCATCTCATCGTCGGTAGTGGTTCTCGCCAGAATATCCTATATAATCCGATACCCTTGACCGCTCCACGAGCTCAAAAATCCATTCGGAAAATGGCGAAGAAGAAAAAGTCAGCTCTCAAACCCGTCGCACGCGGGTTCGCGACAACTAGCGTCCTGAAGAAGGTCGTTCCTATCGAAGAGCCCGAGTCTGAACCCGATGCACTCGCAGACGTGGCTGATAAGTCAACCTCGAGCGCTATCGGTGGAGTAAACGGCGTGACGGTGGTACCGGTCGTCGAAGAGTTCGATCCTGCTAAGGCAGAAGAGCAGTCGCTCCAGAACTTGGTGGATAAGCTCCAGGAAAAGACGGAGCGCGAAGTTATGAGGGCACTAAAGGGAATCGAGTTCGATCGACGTATGGCACGCTCTCTTCCTACAATATCTGCTCTCTCTGGAGTAGGGGGCGAAGCGGGGTGGGTACAGCGTGTTTTCCGTCTGTTGGAAGAACACCCTCCTGCTCAGCCACGTCCCCAAGGTCTTGCGGCAGAGACTGAGGAGAAAGTGCTCGCAAAGATGGGGATTACATATGGAACGTTGAGAAGATTGGGGTTTTCAGAGGAGCGCACTCTGGAGTGCATGAAGGAGATCGCTGGAGTCGATCTAGATGAGGCGCTGGACTGGCTTTGGTTGCATTGCGATGAGGAAGAGCTGAGCTTCGGTATGTGCATACACCTGTTCATTGGCAATGAGGTTGTTCATACAGTCATAGATACCTCGCAGGATGATACCAAATCATCAGCTTCGCAAACCCCTACTACAGCTGCCTCCCGGTTCAAACGAGCTCAGATGCCACAGACGCCGACTACAAACAAGTCCCTGGCATCGTCCTCGACCACCGATGTTAGCGTACTTCTCTCGTCTTCGACGGCAAACAGCACTGTTCCCTCCTCTACTGCGTCCCCACGCATGCAGACGCAGGAACCTACACCTGCGTCCTTATCGCCTGACAGTAGTGGGGACGAGCGTGCGGATATTAAATCGCGGATCCTCGCAGCTTATACCTTGGGCACAGATGCGACATCAGACCTAGACCACGATCCACACGTAGAATACGCGAAGATCAAGCTGGCTATGCGCGAACTCAACGAGGTGCGAAAGCAGGATGGCCGCGTGGGACGCCATGGTCCCCATGGCGATTTGATGGAAGAGCTGCGCGGTCGGCTTGAAAAGGTTAGGGAGCACTATTTCTTCCGCGAGTCGGAAGGCGAAGCCCTTTACCGTGAAGAAAAGGAAAAAGCCGACGCGCGGGCCCTGGAGGCTAGCTTGAAAGGGCTGGCAATCGACTCCGATCTCAGTCTTGTACTTTCACCGACGCCGGATAAGGGAGCAAAGAAACCTGCCACGAAGGCTATGGTCGAGCCTGGGAAACCGAGAACGAGCAAGAGTCCTGCCCAGACCCCTGCTGAGCTCAAGGATTCTGGCTCAGAGAGCGAGGAAGGAGGGATGTTTGGCACGATGTTAGACGAAATGCCGACCGAAGAGATCACGAAGACCGGGACTGTTGTTCGAATTCGCGACATGGCCTTGCCCAAGCAGGGTGGTGCTCGAGCTCCAAAACAGTTGCTCGTTGACGCAGTACAAAAGCAACCACACGGCCGACATGCAGCTATATTCTACTATCGCGTCGGAGGCGCGAGTCGCGCGTGCCGTGCCGGTGTCAGGATCCTGTGGGTCGGAGGCTCCGAGCAAGTATGGGAAATGGACGATGAGGGATGTTACGATCAGACACAGGCCGAAAATTTTATTGCGACTGTCGCCTTGCATGGGCTTGCGTACATCCCTCTTGCTGGGTTCGGCGCGTCGAACACCATCCCGAGCGTGCAATCATCCTTCCGTCTCTTACCTGCTACTTTCAGAGACTTATGGGATGAGCTAGAAACGAAACGTAAAGACGCTGAGGATACTGCCAATCGTCGTACTTGGGCTATGTTGAGGGAGATCGCAGAGTCGAAGATGGATGTATGGGCGGCGAGAACAACGAACAAGATTACCAAGGAGGTCATTGCCCCGACGGATGAGCTGCTGAGCCACAGGTTCCCGATGGGTAACGAGCTCAATCCGCTCCAACTACAGGCTGGATTCTTCGCTAGACAAATGGGCCCAGCTTATCAGGAGATGCTCGTATGTATGCTCGTGTGATTCCATAATATTGATACTGACCTAGAACTAGATATACCGGAATATGTTGCCCATTGCGCCATACCGCACTGTCATTACTGAAACCCTCGAGCAAGCTGGCATACTTGTTCTTAGTGGTGAGACCGGATGGTACGTCACATTTTACCATCCATAAATATGCGATGCTAATCATGTCACAGCGGGAAATCAACTCAAGTTCCCTCTTTTATCCTAGAAGAACATCTTGCCGCTGGAAAACACTGCAAGATCCTCGTGACTGAGCCACGACGTATCTCCGCGATATCTCTGGCCCAGCGCGTCTCTAATGAGCTGGGGGATCCTCCTGGCACATTGGGGACTCTTGCATCCCTGGTGGGATATTCTATTCGACTTGAAAGTAATACTACAAAGAACACTCGTTTGACCTTTGCTACTAATGGAATTGCACTCCGCATGCTCGAAGGTGGTAGTGGTCATGGAGGCAGGGGAACCGCATTCGATGACATTACTCATATCGTGGTCGATGAAGTGCACGAACGCTCAATTGAATCGGACTTCCTGCTCATTGTCATCAAGTCCTTGCTCGAGCAGGGAAGAAATATCAAGGTCGTGCTCATGTCCGCCACTCTCGATGCCGAAAAGATCTCTCAGTTTTTTGGTGGATGCCCCATGATCAGCGTTCCTGGTCGAACTTTCCCTGTGGAGGTGGGCTTCTTGGAAGATGCCGTTGAGCTTTCCGGCTGGTCTATTAAGGAAGGATCACCATATGCCAAGCGGGGTGAGTCCGGATCTCTATGAGTTTGGTTCGTTCTCATTCTGACTTCTTGTAGGTAATGACAAATATGCTCGATCTGGCAAACAGACCAAATTTGAGTGGAATGAAGACCAAATGGTGGATGATGATGACAGCGATCTTGCTGCCGAGAACGGAACTGCAACACCTGCCAAGTTTGAGCCGCGTTACTCCTCCAGCACTGTGTCCACGATCAATTTACTCGACGAACGTATGATCCCGTATGATCTTATCATCCGCCTTCTGGAGCGCATATGCTTCGAAGATGATGCCTACTTGCCCTTTTCCAACGCCGTTCTTGTCTTTATGTCTGGTTTGAACGAAATAAGAAGGCTGAATGACATGCTGAACGAGCATCCCTTGTTCAGTATCGAGCAGGCTTTCCGTATCCACCCACTCCACTCCTTGATTTCCAGTGAGGGACAACTCGTCGTCTTCGACGTACCTTCACCAGGAGTCAGGAAGATTGTTATCTCCACCAATATTGCCGAAACCGGTATTACAATTCCTGACATCACCTGCGTCATTGATAGTGGCCGACATCGAGAGATGCGCTTCGATGAGAAGCGTCAAATTTCCAAATTAGTTGAGTGCCACATCGCCAAGAGCAACGCAAAACAACGACGCGGGCGTGCTGGCCGAGTGCAAGCTGGTCTATGTTTCCATCTTTTCACCAAGCTTCGATTCGAGACTCAGATGGCCGAACATCCTCTGCCGGAAATGATGCGTCTGAGCTTATCTGACTTGGCCCTTAGGATCAAGATTCTCAAGGTTGACCTCGGTACGTCCATCCAGGACGTGCTATCTCGAGCATTGGATCCGCCCTCGCCTGTCAATATTCAGCGCGCTGTTTCTGCTCTAGTGGAAGTCAAAGCATTGACGCCATCTGAAGATATCACTCCAATGGGTCGTCTTCTATCCAAGTTGCCGACAGATGTCCATTTGGGTAAATTCCTCCTCACTGCGGTCCTCTTCCGATGCCTAGATCCAGCTCTCACAATTGCCGCTGGTCTGAATCTGAAATCGCCTTTCATTACTCCTTTTGGTCATGAGGCTGAGGCGGACAAGGCCAAGCTCAGCTTCAAAATAGGTATGCATGTTCTTTTCACGCATAGGGGGCCGAATTCTGACATCGAAAACAGGCAACTCTGATTTCCTCACCCTTCACAATGTGTTCAGCAGTTGGCGAAAAGTGTGTAATAATCCGGGGGGATCAGTACGAACGTTCTGCCGGAAGAACTACCTAAGCTACCCGGTGCGGATCAGTCATGAGAGGCGGGAGAGCGATGTTTCTGACCCTGGTTTCAGAATCTGCAACAGATTGAGGAGCTACGGCAACAATTCCTCAGGTGTGTCAACTCCCGAAGCGGGCGAATCTGTCTCTGATCATGCATCAGCTATTTAGTGGACTCCTCCTTCATTCAAGTTGATCAGGCGTATGAAAGAGAGCTTAGCCGGTAAGAAATTCAGTTGATGCTCTCAAACAGTTGCTCACGATGAACAGTGCTCGCTATCATCGATCTGGAAAAGTGCGCTTTGTTGCCGTCCCAACCGTGTGTGATGAGAACAGCAACAACTTTGATATCATTCACGCTGCCCTTGCGGCTGGACTGTATCCAAAGCTTTTGTCAATTGATCCGAACAATGGCTCTCTTCGAACACTTGGCAACGGTGCACCTACGTCTATCCACCCGACAAGCGTGAATTTCCGCACGAAATCCTACGAATATGGTACTAATTATCTTTCCTATTTCACGCTCATGTAAGTGAATCTGCTCCCGATAATACAGCGGATGACTGAATTTCGGGATCTATAGGCAATCCAAAAAGCTGTACGCTTGGGAGACGGGTCCAGCCGACGATGTGGCCCTCCTGTTATTATGTGGAGAGGCAGAGCACAAGGTCAGCAGATAATTACATGTCCAAGCGTTTCCGAGACTCAAATCCCGCTCCACAGTTCTCATCCAATACCATTTATCTGGATAAGAAAATCAAGTATCGTTTGCCACCACGGGCAAACGTAGCGCTGTCGTATTTACGCGATCACGCTGCCGCCATCATCAGCCTGCGGATGCGAGGCAAAGAGATCAACGAGGAGCAGGAACAGTGGTGGGAGTTACTGCTAGATGTCCTTGGCAAGAAGGATAAGGTGATTTGATGGTATGGACTGAATGTCATGCTTGCCTTTGTTGCACGTTCTTGTGCACCGCCCTCGTGGTGCCATTCTGCATTCAGCTATTTTTAGTACATCGCCTATGGTAGAAATTCATGCAGCACATTTGGAGGCTAGACCACCACCTATGCAACCAAAGAGAACACAGTGAAGTCAAAAGGAATTTGGAACAATGCTCGTATTGGTAAACACAAGTTTGGTAAGAAGCGTGCAACATTGGGCACACGAGAAAAACGTTGGACAAGACACTATGCTCAAGCAATGCAGATGTATATGCGGATCAAACCAAAATCTCGATGAGAGGATATTTTCAACCTTTGAGTAACCAACCACTCGCGCTCAGAATTCCATAGGCAAGGGGGATGTCGTAATTTCAGAGGCGTCGTGCCTGCTGCCGCTCCCGTTCGTCATCGTCCGGGACCCCTCTTCCCCACCGTCCATATCCACATCTTCGTCCTTCATGATGGGCTGCTCCTCGCTCCCCTCTCTTTGCGCAGTATTGTCCTTCCCACTGCTCGCTCGCTTGCTGTTCTTCCTCGGTCTCCGGCGGATATCCGGCGGGTCGGGGATCTCCAGCGACCCCAGGTGGTTCACGGGTTCGACAGCGTAGAACCAAAATTTGCCCGACTTCTTCCCCTTCGGTGCTTCGACGATGATCTCGGTATCCTTCACTCGGGAAACACCGCCGATGTGTCGTAATGCATCCTGTTTCCGCTCTTTGGCTAGCCGGACAGATTCGAATAGCTGCTGTGCGCCGACTTCGTCCGCGTCGAGTAGGGCAGGGGTAATCGGTTCGTCCGAAGGATGCTTCTCACTGCTGCTCATCCCGTTCCCATCCCCGTTGTCATTGTCATTCGTGTTTCCGTTCTCAGTCCCGTTCACGGTCCCTTGTTCGGTCGCCGTGGTGTGCTCGCTCGCATTGCCAGGGCTCGAAGGCTCGACAACACTAGCCGCATCATCGAACGACGGTCCACCTAACCTCGAGCTCCTCCTCTCGCCTCTCCACTCCTTCCTTCCCTCGGCTTCCCGAGCCGCTTGCGCAGCGCTTAACCGTCCGCTTGATCGTGTCGGTACCGGTGGGGCGCGTACTGATGTGCGTAAGCGTTTCGGTAGAGGCTCTTCGTCCGTATCGTTCTCATAGTTATCCCCTTCGTCCTCTTCGACAAAGTCGTCTCCGTTATCTTCCTCCTGTTTATCCAGTCAGTCCGAGGCAACGAAAATGAGGACGCAACTCGCCTCCGACACCCCGTCATACACATAACGCGGCTTATTCCTCTGCCTCCGTGTGCGACTTTCCCGAAGTTCGTGCAGGGCGATATAGTTCTGCCGCACTTCCAGCTGCTTGCGTTTCTTCGTCTGCCGCTGTCCAGGTGAGAATCACGTTAGCTTGCTGGAACAGGAAGGCAAAGAATGAACGAGAGGAAATGGGATGGCTCGAAGCGGGCTGGGCTCCCGCGTCACCCGCTGGGTGATCGGGGGTTGATGATCAAGGCAGTGACCACAGTGACAATGCACGCATATGCGGCGCGGCCGGATAACGCGGGTGCAAACCCTCTGATTGGCCAGAGCCAACCAGGCCAACGCAAATGCAACGCGGTTGAGGGTGTCCAAGTGCAAAAAAGGTAAAGGCGGACTTACGATCTCCTCCTGCTCCACCTTTGGAAGTATCTCGTCCTTGAGCCGTGTGACCATGGTCCGCATCGAATTCTCCCATTTCGTCACTGGGTGCCGAGGTTTTTCCGAGCGGGAACGACCTTGTTCACGAGAAGCTTCGAGTTGACGGGCAGCCTCAACTTCCTCAAGTTCGTTTTCCAGCCTCCCAATCTCTGCCCGCAACTCTGTGGAGGAGGAAGTGAGCGCTGTAAAGGGGCAGACGTTCTTCCATGGGTTGAGAGAACGATACATCCTCCCCGAGTCTGCTTGGGTCTTAGTAGAACTCCAAGATGTAGTAATAAAGACTCACGATCCAAGACCCAGTACCGTCGCCGTTCGAGATCCAGCCCAATAGGGTCAAGGACGATCGATTCCCCCGGTTCACCTTCCTGAGTCGGCTCCTTCGGCTTGCTCTGATACTTCGTCGCGTCTCTCACCGCTCTGATCCTCTCCCTCACCCCAGAGTCGGTAACGAGTGCCCAATCCACTAGCTGTCTTAGGATGTCCAGCTGGGATGTGTGAGCTGGTGCTGGGAGATAAAGGCAGAAAGCGCACCTTGAGTCCCCAGGGTGCCTTGAATACGTCCTCTACCCCGTCGAGTGGGTTCCGCAACACCTTATTCCGGATATCGTACCACATGCACTCCATCTTCCGCTCAGTCATGAGCGCCAGCAACGTCTTAGGGATAGTCTGTGCGCTGCATACGGTCAGCTGGGCGAAGGAGGGCAGCGCGTGAGGGGACATACTCGAGTCGCGTGTGCGTGTTGGGCTTGCACATCCGGATAAGGGAGATGAACACCGTCTCCAGCAGAGGCGTATGTTCCGGCATGAGTATCGCGTCTTCCAAACTATGCGTAATCAGCACCATCCCATCACAATACACCCTGCATCATCATCATCGCCACCACTCCACCCGCTCCACCCAACGCAATGCAAACACAGTACTCACTCCATGACACTCTCCAACCCCTGAGTCTTCTGTATCACCGCCGTACAAAACCGGCTCAAGAACGCCCAGACGTACGCCGTCTCCCACCGATCACGGGGATGCTCGGGCTCCTGCGGGTGGGCCTTGGGTTTTCCCTGTGCTGGTTGGGACTTTGCTGGTGCGTGTGCTGAGGGGGGAGGAGAGGGGGTAAGCGGGGTCGACATGGGCGGAGGGGCGGTTGCGCTAGGCATGATGGTGGCCGTAGTTGCCGCTGTCGTGGTCGCTGTCCAAGTGTGACAAGTATCGCCCAAGGAAACGCGTCGCGCCTTACTTCTGTAAGCCTCGATCACGTTCGATCACTCTCAGAGCCAATACAGTCCCGATCAGAGTCACAATGTCTCAGTTGGGGATAACAGTCGTGTCGCAGTCAGAGATATCCAAGGAGTGAAAGAATGACAAGCGCCCGAACAGTCAGACAGAGAGAGTGGAGTTAAGGGAAGCTGAAGAGGAAACACCAGCCCAGACTCTTTGTACGCGTTCGGAAGCAACCACCCCAAGTAGTACAGTTGTAGTCAAATAGGTTAATCAAATAGCTTTGCACCCGAGGCGGGATATTCAAGAGAAGGAAAGGGAAAGGGAAAAGGGGGGGCAAAGGGGACAGACACCCTTTTCGTTGGGGCCTTTTATACGTGAACGCTCACTAGTCTCTACTCGAGTGGTCAGAACCATGGCTCGTGCGTGCCTCACTTCCGTCCAAGTGTATGACTCCCTTCATCGCACAACCCCCGTATATGCGTGTGTGCACGCTGGCTACGCACGTTACAAAAGCCAACAAGAGAATGAATTGGCAAATACGAATCCGCTTACCCGCTTTTCCGTATCTCCCGAGAGAGACCCGCGTCAATTAGCGATTCCAAAGAAGCTTGAGAGAGCCAGTCCAACCCGGGTCTGCGCACGGACCACTAGGCAAACCGAGGACCCCTAAGTGCCAATAGATTTGTACGATCACGGCCAGGATGATTTCAATTCGTCGCACAGGTTGCTAGACGCTTGCATATGCACCTATTCATTCCATTCACTTTGATTCTTTACATCGTACTTGCACAACAACGTTACATGTCGATCTAGATGAACTGGGACGCCTGTAATACCGTGAGCCACATGTATGCGTGATAGGGGAGGACATACCATCCCCATCAAGCCGCTAAGTCCGCCGGAGTTACCGCCGCCGATCATGCCAGAGAACTTGGACTGCCACTAATCAGCCCACGCATCCAACATACGAGGTATACAAAGTGAAACACACCTGAACAAGCAGCTTCATGATCGTCATACCTACGCCTCATTAGCGAGAGTACGATACCCTAGTCGAGATCTTACCAGCAGAGTTGACAGCGTCCTGCTTAGACCCGCCAGATGCACCACCAGACTGCTCCCAGAGCTTAGATGCCTCGGACATGGCCATGGAGATAAGCTGGGTCGGGCCTCCCCCCGACCCTCCACCGCCAGAAGTGACCTGCTTCAAGATCTTCATCCGATCAGCACCATTCTCATCTCGCCGCAGAAGACAACGTACCTGCATCGCCGCCGCACCCCCAAGCCCACCAGCACTCAGCCCACTGGCGTTACCCTGGTTGTAAGCCTGGTCATGCGCCTGCTGGACAGCCTGCTCGTCGATCGGCTGGTTGTGCTGCGCCGTGTTGGACTGAACGAAATGCATCGCTTGGCCGAAGAGGGAGCTGTCGCCGCTGTTGCCCGCGAAGTTGGACGCTTGCTGGACGGCCTCCTGGTGGTCGACTATTCACGCATTACCAGAACGAGCATAGCCACAACCACAGTACAATGACGACAGAAAGAATAACGCAAACCAACATCAGCATTGCACAACACGAACGCAAAGGCAAAGAAAACGCACTCTGCACCGACGGCTGGTTCTGGTCATGAGGACCATTATACTGCGCACCCCCAGGAGCGCTGAACTGTTGGTCCCCGCCCTGCTGCTGCTGACCACCCTGCTGATATTGCTGGTCGTCCTGCTGCTGCTGGTACCCCTGATTCTGGTTCTGGTTCTGGCCTTGGTTCTGGTTGTTCCCCTGGTTGCCTTGGTTGCCTTGGTTCTGAGAGGACTCATACGCCTGGTAGCCCTGCTTAGCGAGGTTGATGAAGTTGTCCTACCCAACCCCAATTAACACCTCTCGACCTCTACTAGGTAAAACGCGTACCATGGTTATCAGATACTAGATGGATAGGTAGATGGAGGTGAAGAGGAAAGCCGCGATGAAAGGGGCGTCAGGCAGCACGTCCCGCACGTTATAGAAGCGGGACCAAACCCTGTGTGTTCCCACTGATCCACTGCGGGCAAGCCAGTGACACTAGGGCAAGGTGGGCAGCATGGTGGAATATGCTAGCTGTTTCGTGGACGATTGTATGCTTTCATTCTGTATTTCCGCTACTGGGAGGAGTGGTGTGGGAAACGGGTTGGACTTATGAGGAGAGATCACGATCATCAGATACGTCACTTGATCAATCGCACGTATCACCTTAGATCGAATCATCATCGGCTCCGATCTTCCATCTTGCACCCACCCTTGGAATACTTACTACTACCTCTCCAACCCAGTTCGGCAAATACATATACATAGCAGCAGTTCTGATCGACCCAGATAAGATCGCTGCTCTGAGTGGCAACACGTGATAAATGATAATGACTACAATTCTCTCGCCTAGACATACTCCTAACGCCGAACCCCCGCCTCGGGAATAACGAACAACAGTCTCCATCTTACCCTGGTCCAACCTGCGTTCAGTGTCAGTATCTCATCCCTCGGAACACACAACAAATACGATAATAAAGCACATAAACCAAATAAACCGTCAAACAAACAAATCCAACCGAATCAAAGAGTAAAACAACCCCAGCCAAACCAAACCAAACCAAACCAGAAAAGGTGCCAAACATACCTTGGGGATATCGTGGTGCTCACTGAGCGTCTCGAGCTTGGCATTGAACTCGTGCACCCGGTCTTTGTGCGTCTTCTTGGCCATCTGCTGTACCTTGCGTTCCAACTACCCATGCAGTCAGTACTGTTTGTCCTGTATACGCACAACAGAGCACGGGGACATACCATCCTCCGCTGTCGGTCCTCGAACCGACGCTCAGCCTCGGTCTTGTTATCCTCCTTCGGACAGGAGTCCTCGAGTGGCGGTTCATCCTCCTCGGCCGGCTCGTCCAGTACCGCAGAATCCCGTGCCTTCCCTTTGAGCAAAGTGTCTTTCATGCTCTCCTTCGTCTTGGGCTTCTTTTTCCTGACCACAGTTAGCTAGAGTTAGAGAGGAAAGAACGCGTTTACGTACTTCTTACTAGCATCGCCGCCTTTGAGCTTCAGTGAGCCTCCTGGACGGAAGTCGTAGTCCGACATCGCGTCCGTACAAGCAAGCTCGCGGTACTATAGGACTTGTGCGTGTCGTGCGTTGTAACTTGAAGGTGTCGAGCGCTCAATCCCGGCTCCGCAACTCCGTACACTGCCACACCTTCGTGGCTTTCCCTGAGCGCGCGTCCTCTTGCCCAACAACGAAGCGCATACATTCACCCTCTCTCGAGCACACCATGGACAGCGAAGAACTCTATCAGCTAAAAAGCCATTTCTACCAGGGTCCGTCCTCCTCCTGCCCCTTCTTATTCCAGACCCCACTAACCCTCATCAGCGAACTACAAAGCCGTCCTGTCCACCCCTCTCCCTCCTGCCAACAGCCCCTCCTACCTCCCGTCAAAAGTCTACAACCTTCGTGCTCAGCTTGCACTCTCCCCGTCCACCCCTCTTCCAGCAGAGGAATCAGAGTCACTGGCGCTGCGCGCTGTGGCCGCTTTCTCTGGTTATCTGACGGCGGAGGATAAGGCTGCTGCTTTAGAAGAGCTGAGGGAGCTGGTCCTGGAGGTCGAGGGGGAGGAAGAACTTGGTTGGGAGGAGGGTGTGGTGAGGGTGTTGAGTGCGACTGCTTTCTTTAGAGAAGGCGAGACTGAGGAAGCACTGGACACATTGTCCGGCGAGACAGCGAAAAAGGACCTCGAGTGGTGAGCTACTTTATGCTCTTCGGGAGTCACACGCTGACATATACGTGTAGCGTGGCGCTCACCGCCCAGATCCAGCTCTGTCTCAACCGTGCAGACTTGGCACAGAAGACGCTCGAGTCAGCCAAGAAATGGGCCGACGACGCCCTCCTGCTCCAACTTGTCGAAGCCTGGGTCTCTCTGCGCACCGTACGTCTCCTTCTTTTACTCCATCAACAATAATAGCTTACACACGCACAGATCCCACCGAACTATAACTCTGCGTATTACACGTTCTTGGAACTGACGACCGTCCCCTCCCCCTCCGCTCCCATGCTCGCAAACCGCGCCATCGCCCAGCTCTGCCAAGGTAACATCCCCGAAGCCGACGGCTCGCTGACCGAAGCGCTCGAAAAAGATCCCGAAGATGCGAGTGCGCTCATGCTCTCGGCCAGGCAGGGTATGCAGGGCGCGCTGAGGAAGTTGGAGAAGATTCAGGGTGGGCATCCGTGGTTGGTTGCGGGGAGGGAAGCGGAGACGAGGTTTGAGGAGGCGAGGGGTAAGTGGGAGGTTCCGCCTTTGGCTACTGCTTCGGCTTGAGTTGTAGAGTGTAGCTGTCCTGTCTCAGGACTTGAGAATGCATACATTTATTACTTTTACGTCATACGCAATCACACTAAGTCTTGAGATCAGGCACATATATGCGCAGGCATTGAGTATAAGATGAAGAGAGATTAGGCGCATATAGCGGTAGACATGCGAGAGTAACGAGATAGAAAAATGACCATCAGTTCAGTATATTGCGCAGCCAGGTGGGGAGGTTTGGTTGTATATCGGGGGGAGTGGTACCGGTTTCGACACTTGGCTCGCGAGATGGCTGTGTGGTTGTCACCGGCTGCGTTTCTGCTGGTGGTTGAACCTGTGGTGTTGGTTGAACCTCCAGTGCTGGCTCGATTTCTGGTGTTAGGTGGAGCTCCGGCATTGGTTGGGGTTCCGTTACGAGCTGTACTTGTGGTGCTGGTTCGACCTGCGGTACCGAGAGGAGTTGCAACACTGACTGGATTTCTAGTACGGGCAGTTCTTGGGGCGCTGATTGGACTGGTGATGGAGCAGCGGGAATTGGTATATTGATGAGAGGCACGTTGTTGATAGCGGGACTGGCGGACACGGGTGAAACTAGTTGGGGATGTTTTGGAGAAGCGGGGAGTGGAATGGTGAGGAAGCTGGCACTGGCGATAGAGTTGATGAGGTTCGATAGCGAACGTGAATAGCGGTCGGAGGGTCCTTCGTTGTTCGCGAACAATGTGTTTTCGGACCCAATGTCCATCGAGCTCCAGATTTGGTCCTGACTGGGGTTCTGGATCGGCAAGAAGGTTGGCGCGTGATTAAGTGACGTGGTTGATTCCTTCTGTGTATCGAGTAGACTCGGGTAGGGTGCGAGTGGGCTGACCAGGTTGGCCGGGGACGACGACGATGACGAGATTGACTGAGAAACTTCCAGCATGAAAGCGTTCGATATCGGCGATGGTGAATAGTGCTTGTGATGTGTCTATCGGAGTCCCAGGGAGAGGTGAGACATGAGAATGTGTTGACAAGGGCGTAACATCTCGGGTCGAGCCTTGGTTACTTGATAGAGGCACCGAGAAATCCTCTTGCAGCAAACAGAGTGCATTGTCCGATAAATTCGGAAGATCGTTCGCAGTAGCATCGCCTTGGGTTTGATTGGACGGCCCAAACAACGTGCTGAAGAAAGCGAGGTCGGCTTGGTCGTTGTCAATATCCTGCATAGGAAGCATCTCTTCGTCCATCGATTCATCAAGCGGTACAGCCGATTGGGTGGCAGCATTCCCTTGCATGAAGTCGCGAAACAATTGATCGAAACCATTAGGCTCGACAGATTCAGGGTCACCATTGAAAGCGTTATCAAGATACTCGCTGAATGCGTGCATGGGCATATCTGGACGAGTTGGACAGGATCCGCCGAATAATGGCAGAAGCATTTGCGGTTCGCTCGCTGACGCTCGCCAGACATCGGGTCCAAAAGAGGGCGCGACTAGATTTCGGGGCGCATAGTCCGAATCGTCGAACATAGGCTCGTCTTCGTCAATAAGAGGGCCAGTAGCAACCAAATTGAGGTCGACGTCATCAGAGAAGGAACTATCAGAGCCCAAGGACGTTCGGGAAGCGGCTAAAGAAGGCGTCGTGCTCGTGTGGGCGCCAGATTGGATATCCTCATTTGGCGACGACAGCTCGCCATATGAGCTGGTCAATGGCTGTGACATGTCACAGTCATCATAGTCATTCCAATTGAGGGAAGTGTTATATTCTGTCTGATCGACATGCTTGTCGTTCGTCTTTGATGTTCGCCTCTTCTTCGAGACTGAGCGGGCTGCTAGAGTATGAGATCGACCCCGCTGTCGTCTGTTTTGGAACTAGCCAATGATGTGAGCACATGATCAAGTGAGATAGTAGAAGGGTGCGCACCCATACAAGAACTTGCCGTTCTGTGAGTCCAGTTTTTTGTGCAAGAAATGCTTTCTCGGCGGCGTTTAAATTGTTCTGACGACAGCCGTAGGCTACTTCAAGGATGCGAACAGCCGTCTGCGGGGTATGTTAAGTCATGTGCACATATTGACGCGGCGCAAAATCGCTCACCTCGGTGATTCCACGCGTGGCGGTCGTCTGTGACTCCAACCAGTGTGTCACCCGCTTCATCAGGATGTCTTGCATGTCCAGCAGCTTTCGCCGATAGATGCCCTGATATATCTCGACACATTGTTGCACAAATGAGGATAAAGAAAGTAGGCCTTCAATGTAGACGAGTCGCTCTCTTGCAAATCGCTCTCTTCTAATGTCATTGATGATCGCGTTTACTTGCTCTCGAAACTTGCAAGCGGCTTCTATATAACATCGGGCGGCGGGATCAGCGAGTTCCGAAGGCAAACCCATCGACCGTAATGTCTCTAAAGGATCGACAACAGGAGGTAAATCATCTGCATATTTATCGATGGGGCTGATTGCGTCGGAAGGCTCGACTTCGTCAAATTGGCAGAACACGGATATTCTCGCGCGGAGGGCGTTGGCTGAAGAGCTAACCCAGTCCAGACACTCTTGCACTGATGATGAGCCAGGATCTTGAGAAGAGAGGGGCATCGTATCTGGTTCACCGTCGATAGTCGATTCGATGGTCGAGGAAAAGAATAACATAGGGGTGGTCAGAGGGTTGGGTGGTTTGCGACCTGCGCGTGGTAGACTTAAGTTGACGAGGGGTCAAACTAAATGGCTCCGGTCTTTGTTTCCGGGCTGACCCTTGAAAAGGAGCGTCAATGTTCCTTTCCATGTCCACCACACCTTAACTCGACAACGGCCCTCCTGAACATGCAAGTACCTACCAAGGACGAAATTCTGGAGCGATTGTCTAGCATTGAACATGCTCTGGTCGAGGCATTCAACGAAAATACCAACTCCTCCTTCACCGACTTGAATTCCCAATTCCAACAAGTAGCTAATATCATTAGCTCCTCGATCCAAGCACCTAACAAGCCCTATTCGACATCTCTCTACGTCAAAGCCCGGGAGCTTTCCTTAAGGATCTCTTCTTCGCTTTCGGCCTTGCTCGAGATCGCCTCATCCGGAACGAAATTTCGTGGCGTCTTGCAAACTGGGTTTGTGAGCCTTCTTCCCTCTGTGCCCAGCACGCATTTGTCCACAGAAGCATCTATCGAGTCTACGTCGCAATCCGGTGGCGAGTTTGCCTCCCTTCGAAGGTGGTTTTTGGATCATATCGACAATCCATATCCTGATCAGAAGGAGAAGCAGCAGCTACATCGCGAATTGGGCATTCCCGTTGCCAGTATCACCCAGTACTTTACGAACGCCCGTCGGAGGTCTGGATGGGCCGACTTCGTCAGGTCCTATGGAGGTGGATCCTCATCGAGCGCTGCAGCCCTTATCAGGTCGATCGTGCAAGTCGAGCAAGACACGACATCAGACATCCCAGACATTCCGCAAGGTGCTCAATCGGCACTAGAAAAGATTCGCGAATACGTGAGCGCTGGCTTGGAGCCTGAGATTCGTGATGGAATGCGAGAGGCGATGGAGGCGGAGTCTCGCAGGATCCACGAGATGCACGTGCAAGCGATCTCACAAGGCCTGGTGATCGAGGATGGCGAACTTCGCAAGCCCAAGAAAGCACGGTTGAACGGCGCGCAAACTCACCAGCGTTCCATCGATGAACGCAGGGACGACTTTCAATGCCCCCATGGATGTTCGCTGCGCAGGACACAGTCTCCCCTCCCGTCAACGGTCGAGTCCGATGTTTCACCCCTTGCCTCAACGTCATCTCAAAGAACAAATGAAGAGCTTCGTGAACACATTGAGACAAGTGATACACATGGAGGCACTGCAAGAAAACGCCGTCGTGAAGAGTTCGAGGATTCAGAACATATGGCGAGTACAAGCACAAGAGCCAATATCAGACGGAAGATGCCCCTTCCACCACCACTGGCTGCGATGGCATCCCTAGAGGTTGCGCGACGACCTGAAGTACGTTATCATTCATCTTGTTCTCACATACATGACTGACTCTTTCCTAACGCAGAGATCTATTTCGGCACTCATCACTCCAAACTCTGATTCTACCGTGGCGGACGAGGTGCCCGATGACTCCTCAAGGAACGCGAGCAACAGCCCCACGAGCACATCCCCCTCTTCATCAAGTTCTGAGAATCCAACAACCCCCCCTCCCAGCTCGTCGACTCTCGCATCAGACTCGAATACCGCCGCTCGACCAATAACCAGGTTATCAATCGCGAGCCTCATCTCTCCCCCTTCCTCGCCCGACCAAGCCTCTTTCCACAAACCAACCCAGTCAGGCACTGGTCCCGAAGTCCCCACTGCGCAGTTCGGATGGCGGTTCGAGCCCAGTCGCCTGAGATCAGCAGACGACCGCCCAATCCCCATCCCCATCCCAAAGCCACTTCCTCTGAACACCACCGCTGAAGAGCCAGACGCTCCTGTCGTGTCTCGCCCTACTTGGTCACTCAAGCCGGCCGTATCGAGCACACCGAAGCCTAAGCGTCGTGCACCACAGAATCAAACCAATGTCAGAGGCAGCACGCAGAGGTCTGCTGGACAGTCTGTTTGACATGCTCTAATTGGCTGGTTTACTTGCTGTATACGCGTCTTTCCTTCCCGTTTTCATTCCGATTTTCCCTCAGGATCCTAATTTTTTCCTCTCCATGTCGCATGTCCCATGCTCAGATCTCCGTCTCCTTATGGCACGTTCTCATCTTATACCATCATGCACCTGAACTCCAGATGTAACGAAATCGACAACAACAGAGCGAAAAGTTTCACAAGCGAAATTTGCCGTAATTTGTTTGAGTGCGTGGGAGGACAAAAGTAGTCCGTTGTGACACTTTTCCGTCCCCTCGTCCCCGTCCCGAGTGTTGTTGTCCCTCCGTCCACGGCTGGCTTGGGGACAACATTGTTTGCTAGCTACTGCGTGTACGATCTCGACCAGGGGAGATGGATAGACTTGTACTCTCAATAAGCGGCTGTAGCATGCCCGAATGGTATTCTAAGGTAGCTATAGGGCACGGGTGCTCTTAACCGGAGAACGGACGACGGCTCATGTTTCCAGTTTCATCCGGGGAATGTCTTGTCCTGTCTTACATTCGCGCGAACTTAATACTGGCATGTACTGGTGGATGATCGTTCACAGTCGGCTTATTCCTCAGGTCCTTTGTTCTTTGCGGTTAACTGCTGGTGCGGATCCCGTATGGCGAGCCTCGGGCTGCACGAGTGTCAGTCATAAGTTCGTGCTGTATCATTGATTACCCGCGTACCAGCAGCTTCTGCAACCGAGTGTTTCTCCAGATCTTGCTCTCTGTACCACTTGCTCCTAATCGCGTTTCTAAGATTGCTGAAGCACATGCTGCCCCCCCGCTATTGCCGCTCGGACGAAACGACGCCCAAGCCGTCCACTCTCCCTCCATCCTTTCACTTCACTCCCACGTACTGACGGGACAAAACATCCATGAATTACATCCGGAGCATAAGGAAATACAACGACTACCTGCCCTGCGCCTGCCAGGCTTTTCGGTATCACGCCGCGCCGCTGGGGTCTAATCAGCACTATGCAACAATACAGGAGAGCAGAGGAATCATACACAAGGATGTTGTTTCTGCCCCCAAAGCGTGAGTACTAACCATAGTGCGACTGGGAACGGAGGCGTACATGGGGATATGGATAAGTTTTACGAAGTACCCCAGGAGACCCATGACTACGAAACCGATCGCGACAGCCCTTGAGATCTGGAGATACTCTACATGCGTCCTGTGAGGCTAACTTCTCGAGTAGGAGTGTAATGCGGCGCACCTTTCTTGTCGGGTTTTGTGCAGCGGTTGATGAACTGCGTGCGACATGTTAGCTGAGCTCCTGACAGTACGGTGCACCGGCACGGGGGGTGGCGTACCTGCTGTCCTTCCTTCAAGAACTGCTGTGGGACGTCGACGAACTCTTTGAATCGGTCTGACATCGTGTTTTGCGAAAGGAGGGTGAGGTTGAAGTAGGGAAAGGGATAGGGAGGGATGTTATGAAGATGTTGCCTAGCTAGTGAGGGTCGTGTGCTTTCAGTTCTCCACGTCGTCTAAGTGGCGCGACATTCCAATCTCTCGGAGCCGAACCTCGGATAAACTAGCACGTACACGGGTCAAGCGCCCATCATTCGCATTACACATTCCATAACCCACCCAGCTAGACCTCAGATGCCCCGCCCACCCTCACCAGACGAGTCCGTAACATCACACGACACCTTCACTTCAGCCCAAGAGCCTCCTTCTCCAGAATCAGAGTTCACAGACTCCGAAGCTCGTGTGCGTCCTCTTCCCAAGCTAGGACTACCTCGACTGAGATATCTAGGCACTACTGGACGAAGCGTCGAAGCTTAAGGAACTGGGGAACGAAGCCTTCCGGAGTCAGAAGTGGGAGGAAGCGAGGGAGAAGTATGAGCAGGCGCTGGGTTGTGTGCCTATGGACCCGCTGGTTCGGCGGAGTGCTGACGAGGTTGAGCATGGGGTGCCGGCGTATGAGGTCCACCCGCCTGAAGAGGAGGACGAGCAGGAAGTCCCAAATCCCAATTCTGGGTCCGATAACAGTAAAGGGAAAGAGAAAGAGAATGGGACAGAGAACACCTCAGACCCCCCCGCCCCCGAGCCCGAGCTGAAAAAAGAAGCCCGCCTAGCCCGCGCCGTGCTCAACAACAACATCGCCGCCTGCCTCTCCAAACAAAACCAGCCCGCGCTCGCGATCGACTATTGCACTCGGGCGTTAAACTCCGACCCGGGGTATGGGAAGGCGCTCTATAGGCGGGCGTTGTGTAGACAGGAAGTTGGTGGTTGGGCGGCGTTGAGCGGTGCGAAGGAAGGTGCGGTTCATCTATGATCTATGCTAAGCATGGGAGCTGACGACTTGGACTTGCAGACCTGAAGAAACTAGTCGAGATCCTCCCCCCCTCTTCCCCCCTCTTACCTTCAGTCCGCAGCTCCCTCCTCACGCTCGAGCCCCTCCTAAGCTCCACAGCCGAAAAGGAAAAAGCAGAAATGTTCTCCAAGCTCAAAGATCTGGGTAATTCCTTCCTGGGGAAATTCGGATTGAGCACGGATAACTTCCAGTTCTCGCCTGATGGGAAAGGGGGGTATGCGATGAATTTCCAACGCTAGCTAGCGGGGCGGCCGGGCGGTAAGGAGTGGTAGATTATTGATAACTGTAGCAATAGGTACACTACACACGCATCTTTTCACTATCACCATCTGGGCAGCCGCTTTTCGCACACTGCCACGAGCCTCTGACAGTACCAGTGCCAGTGACACTGACAGTAAGAGTGACAGGAGGACGCCCAGCGCCTACTTCCCAGCCCACAAAAACGCATCAGCCCCAACACGCCAACACATCTCCTCCACCCATCTGCTCAAAATCCCTTCCTCTCCTTCCTCTCCCTCCCTGCCCTGCCCAGCCTGCGCTCCCTGTCCTCCCTCTGCGCTCTGGCCGCCCTCGCCCTCGCCCTGCCCTGCCTGAGCTTGGGTGCTGATCCGTAGCCGGCTGATCTCCTCCACTAGCCCGCGGAAGACTGCTCGGGCTTTGCGTTCGCCTTCTATTTCGTAGTCTGCGGCTTTTTGCTTTTCTCTCTCCTTCTCCTTTTCCTTCTCCCTCTCCCTCTCTCTCTCCCGTTCCCGTTCCCGTTCCTGGTCATCCATCCCCTGACCACCCCCACCAGCCTGCATCTGCACAACCTGCACAACCGGCCCCTGCCCACCCACTCCAACCCCAAAGGGGAACCCCCTCTCCCCCCCATCCACAACTCTCGCAGCATACGCTTCCCTAAACATCACATGCAGCAAAAGCAGTGCCCCTGTCGCGATTCCCATCCCCATCCCCGACGACGGGGCTGCTGGGCCGGCAGGGCTGGGGGCAGGGGCAGGGGCACGCGGGGGGAGCCGGGTAGGCTCTGGGAGTGAGGGGGGGAGGTGGGTGAGCACGTGCCGCCGCAGGAGGGGGAGGGGGGCGGTGTACTTGCAGGAAGCCCATTGGCACTCCTGGGGAGTGGTAGGGTCGGGAAGGGTGGTGGGGTGAGCTTGGGTGCTGGAGGGGGCGGGGTGGGTGTTATCTGCCGGGTGGGGGTGGGAAGCGGGAGGGGGGAGGTCGACGTCCATAGGCTGTTCGCTGTCTGGTTCTCCTTCTGCGTCGGCGTCGGCGTCATCTTCCCCTTCCGCATCCGCGTCAACATCCACGTCCACGTCCGGTTCTCCCTCCGCGTCCGCGTCCTCCTCTCCCTCAGCGTCCATCTCCTCCTCTTGCGCACCCCCCTGCTCATCCCGCACAGGTTTCCCACCCCCCTCCTCTACCCTCCCACCCAAATGTTTCACCCACAAATGCCTCCCCAGCTCTTCCCTCCCCTTCACTTCCCCCCCTCCCTCCCCTCCTTCAAGCACCCCACACCCCCGCCAGCGACAAGCGAACCTCGTCAGCTCCCCCTCTTCTCGCTGCCTGATCCCGCGGATGATGTATACAGGCGGTTGGCGTGAGGGGAGTACCATTGCTGACGCGCCTGGGAAGGCGAGTGTGACGGATTTGATGAGTTCCGATGCTGTGAGGTGCGGGGTGGCGGGGGAGGAAAGGGAGGGAGGGGCGAAGACGTCTCTGTACAAATTCCAGAAATGGACTTGGGTAAGAGAGGAAGATGCGTCTGGTAAGAATGTCTTGCGCATCCATTCCTCTGCTCTTGCGGGCTCTTGCATCGGGAGCAGCGCTTGCAGTTCCCCGGGAGTGAGTGTATAGGGGTGTAATGGGCCTGAGTCTGCCGGTTCTGGAGGGAGGGAGATGGAGCTGCTAGGTTGAGGCGGGGGTTGGGAGGAGAGAACAAGAGCTAGGAGAAGACGGAGTGTGCCTGGGAAGAGCGGGTGGTGGAAGAACGCATGTGCGACAGGTGGGTGACTGAGGTGGGTATGCACAAAGTCTATCGCAGCGTGTTGTAGCGTTTCAGTCACAGGGACGGTAGGGTCGTCTTGTACCGGCAGAGCGCGGAGAGCGGCTGTGAAAGCAGATGAATCGAGTGTGATGAGATGAGCGTTGTAGTTGCTGCTGAAGAGTGCTGTGAGTGCGCCTAGTGATGCGCGTAGGAGTGCTCTATCCATTGTTGAGGTGAGGTTGACGAGTGCACGAAGGAGAGGCGATCCTGATTTGAGATGGTAACGCGGTGCGAGAGAGTGAAATAGCTCGACGGTGTAGATCAGAAACTCTTGTTCTTCTCCTGCTCTTGCTCCCCTTGGACCGAATGACTGCAGCGTGTGAAGTATGAGTGGGAATGTCCTCGTCGCCTTCTCCAAATAGTGCATATTGTGATCAGTAAGAGAGGCGTTCCTCATGACCAACATAGCTTCAGTCGCGCTCTGTCTCTTCCATGTCCTCTCCCCATCCTCTCCTTCCCATCCATCACCTGGACATAGCAAGGCATACTCTGCCAAGTCGAACAACGCCTCCCCCACACCAGGGAGTACCTTCATATAGAACCTATCTGGCCAATCCTTGCTCAACCTCAACAGCCTCTCAAGTGCCCACTGTGTATCCCTCTGTACACCAGAACGAAGAGAGAGGACCATCCGGTTATTCGGTGTTGATTCCATGTACCATGTCTCAGTGTTGTCGGGTACTTGCATATGAAGTGCACCGAGTGACGCGTAGTATTGTGCATAGTATGCTTGTTGCGCTGACGTCAGTGTCGTCATATTCGATGATGGCGTATTAGGCCGACAGTACTGTGTCGTCATCGTCCACTAAGATGACAGAGACGTGAGTGTTAACCTCATCAACTTGCTGTTTATCACTTCATGTGGCTGTGTAATCTGCATCCGCTATTAGACGCGACGCGACGAGCGCTTGTCATCTCACTCCCATTCACTCCATCACCTCGTCGACATGAGCGCTCTTGCGAGCTTCAAGAACGTATTCCATGGATTGTCACCAGAACAGGGAGGTCCGTCCCTCTCCCCTTCATTTGATGCAGCACTCAATGTACCTGCAGAAATGCGCCTCACGCATAATGGACTCGCGTGGCAAGGCTCTGACACGAAAAAAGTAGTCACAGTAACGAAGGAGAGCATGCGCGCAGCTCAATGGACTCGGTCTGTCATCCTTTCTCTCCCTACTGCTACTGCTAACGATGAACAGCGTCGCTCGAGGGTTCCAGCTCCGCCTACTGCTCTCATCTGACAAGCGGAGGGAGACGTTCGACGGCTTCGAGAGAGAGGATCACGAGAAGCTGGCGCATATCTGCAAGCAGCACTGGGAACTTTCCCTCGAGACGAGGGAAATGAGCTACCGAGGGTGGAATTGGGGGGAATACGATATCCAGTGTGCGTCCGCTTTCTCCATAGTGGGCATGGGTGTGGCTGATAGTGCGCTCGTGCAGCGGACGACCTCGCTTTCCTCGTCGCTACCAAGCCGCTATTCGAGATTCCCCTCACGTCAATCGCGAACAGCAACATAGCAGGCAAGACAGAAGTCTCGCTCGAGTTCCTCAACCCAGAACAGCTCAAGCCCGACCCCGCAGCACCTAAGCGCCGCCGAGCCGGGGACGAGCTCGTCGAGATGCGGTTTTATGTTCCCGGCACTGTGGAGCGGGATGAGGGGAAAGAGGATGACGAGGAGGGAGAGGAGGAGGTTTCTGCCGCTCAGGCGTTTTATGAGCTTGTTAAGAAGAAAGCGGAGATTGGTCAGGTGTTGGGAGAATACATCGTCGAGTTTAACGATGTCCTTTTGCTTACTCCTCGGTGCGCTCTCTCCATCCCAGGCCAGTGCATGAGTGCTAACGCTCTGCGTAGAGGACGCTACGACCTCGACGTGTTCCCAACGTTCGTCCGGCTCCGGGGAAAGACGTACGACTACAAGATCCTCCACACCTCCGTCACGCGCCTCTTCCTCCTCCCCAAACCGGACGACATACATATCCAGCTCGTGGTCGGCCTCGACCCCCCGATCCATCAGGGCCAGACCCGATATCCTTATCTGGTCATGCAGTTCACGAGGGAGGACAACCTTGAGGTTGAGCTGAAGATCGATGAGTGCGTGGTTTTCCTCCCTGCTGGAACTGTGCACGGCTGACTGGCGGCTCACTGGGGATAGCGAACAACTGCAAAAGTACGGCGGGAAACTGCAAAAGGAATACGACGCACCTGTATTCCAGATCGTGTCAAACATCTTCCGTGCTCTGACAGGGCGCAAACTCCAAGCTCCGTCAGACTACAAGTCGTGCGTCTCTCCCCTTCCGCCCTCCCTTCGTCCTACACTGTTACCTGTTGTTGACCAAATGCAGGTTTAATGGACAGAGCGGCGTCAAAGCGAACATGAAAGCTACGCAAGGAGACCTGTATTTCTTGGACAAGAACCTCATCTTCGTAGCCAAACAGCCAGCAGTAGTAGACTACGCAGACATCCACACCGCTTCTTTCTCCCGGTGCGTCCTCCCTCTCCGTTCACTGCAGCAACGTACTAACCCCCGCACGCATAGCGTCGGCGGAGGGATGTCATCAGCAAAGACGTTCGACCTCCAGATCACCCAAAAGTCCTCTACAGGCGACCTGACATTCAGCTCCATCCCGAAAGAGGAACACGCGAAGATGGAAGAGTACCTCCGGGGGAAGAAGGTGAGAGTCAAGAATGAGATGCAGGAAGAACTTGCGCAGGTGGTGGGGTTGAGTGAGGACGAGGATGAGGAGAGTATGCAGGATGTGGCTAGTGGGGAGGATGCGCCCAGGCGCGGGGCGGGGGAGGATGATAGTGAGGAAGGTGAGTGTCCGCTGTTTTTGGGCCCTGGTCTGCGTGCTTTGTATTCGCACTGGCCCTGCTTGGCTTTCGTCCCCCTTCTCACTACTCGACCTCTCGCTTGCCCGACTTTTCTTCTGCAGGACACCGCTAACCCCATACCTTTTTGCACAGACGCGGACTTCCAAGACTCAGACTCGGACGGCGGCTCCCCCACTTCCGGATCCGAAGATTCCGAACCCGATGATGGGCTTGCCTCGGGGGACGAAGATCTTGCTAAGGCTGGGAAGGGGAAGAAGGGTGTTGGGAAGCCTGTGGCGGGGGGTTCGGGGTCGGGGTCGAAGGGTGAGAAAGGGGAGAAAGGGAAGGGGGAGCAAAGGGAGAAGGGGGAAAAGGAGAAGGAGAAGATTAGGAAGAAAGATGTGGCGAGTGAGGGAGAAGGGCCGAGGAAGAAGAAGATCCGGAGAGAGGAGGATTGATCTTAGTTACAGAGACAGAGGCAGAGGCAGTGATGGGTACTGTGTGTCTGTTTTTGTTTTCGAGCTTGGGGAATGCATGTATTATGCCTGAGAAGGGATAGCCAGACTACGGGAATGCCGCAACTGCTAATTATATCCGCCCTTCCCTCTTACGTCTCCGGGGTATCCTCGGGAGTACATAACGCCGACCAGCTCACCCGGAACACGGAATAAGCATTCTTGCTTCTCTTCCTCCACTCGAGCGCTGGCTACGTCTTATCCTCAACGACCACCACCACCGCCGCCGCCGCCGCCGCCGCTCTAGACTAGACTAGCGATCGAAATAGGATGGTCCTTCTTGGCACGGCTGAAGAGGCGAAACTCCTCGTCCCGGAGATCGAGGCTCAGGTGCGTTACTCCTCGGGCCGTTGTTCCCGCGCCTCCCGCCCCCTGCCCCCAGCGCACTAACATCTCCCACCCATCTCGCAGGAATCCAAGCTCCATTTCCCGGCTTTTACGACCGAAGTAGCCTGGCAAGTGGGAACAGCTATCCGCGCCCGGTTCTTAGCGACCCAAGCTTGGAAAGAGAAGGGGATCGTTGTCCATATATCTACGTTTACGGGTCATGTGCTGTTTACGTGCGCGGTGGGGAAGGAGAGTGCTATTAATCCCGGGAACTGGGTTTGGGCGAGTCCCGTCCCGTGCATGTGCGTGGGAGTGGGGGAGCTGATGCGGGCAGATTAATGGGAAGATGAACGTCGTTAAGCGGTTCAACCATTCCTCTTTCTTCGTGGGGAGGAACTTAGTCTCCCAGGGGAAGGTGCGTCTTCCCCCGGGCCCTTCTGCGAGCTAGGGTGCTGATACGGGGAAACGGTGAAAGGTGCCGGAGGAAGCGCTCCCCTTTCCGGAATTCGCAGCGCATGGAGGTGCTTTCCCCGTCTGGATCAAGGGCGCGCCGTGCTCCCCGTTGGGGACGATCATCGTCAGTGGCTTGAAGCAGGAAGAGGATCATCAGAGTGCGTACTACGCTCTTGTTGTGTCAAGATTATGGGCTGATGAGCGGCAGTTATCGTTGATACCCTCGAGGAGATCTTGCCGACTTTGCAGTGAGTGGGAAGATGTATGTGTGATGTATGTGAAGAGGTTTCGTTAAGGAGGCGTGGAATGTAAACAAGATGAATTGAGTGTGTTTTAGATTCACTATCGAGAGACGTGCAAGACGGCGACGAATACTGATCGACAAGGTGTGACAGCGTGTCGACTTGAGGAGTGCCAGTCTGATCAGAGCAAACCTAAGACTATCCTGATTCCGACCTGACGACCTCGTATACGTCGTTCGACTAAAGGTACGAATCACTAGCACAGCCGAAACAGAAACCTGGTAGTCGTATTCTGTCATCCATATCTTATAGGTCCACATAAGCTAGTCTCGTTGTGCCAGATGTAGCTTGAGACGTTCCAGCGTGCACATCTCAGGCGTTTGAGGAGATCGAATGGTAGCAGTCAAGCGATCCGTTGAGCCCATTCGGTCGCAGATGGGTGCTATCCGCATTTACAGTTCGCGCACCATGCGAAGAGATTAGTGCGAACTAGTTTGGCGCAAGAAGGTCGACTGAATCATGAATTAAGATGTCAGGGGAGGATCGTCGACAAAAGAAGAACCAGAAGATACTCGGCTCCGACACGGAGTTACGACCTGGTCCGCATCTCTCTTACGTAAACTGAGACTTTACCTCGTCAATTCGACCGAGACCGAGTCACACGGATATTTGAGCGAAAAGAGCGATAATGCATCTTTCCTTAATCATTCCTCCAATATGTGTTTTCCACTGGAAGGAGACGGGGGCAGCTCCTGGAACAGAGCTCCAGTGCTACTGCGCATCTTCGGGTTACTCTGACGACCTACCCTGCCTGAGACAACGCAGATAATAGACGGTCCAAAGGATTTACACATATACAAGTCACTTCAAGGACTGGCTACGAAGTCCTGCTTCTTCACTCAGGATCATTTTTCGTGTCTCACCTCCTGTCTACCTGCTGGCGGCGGGAGTAGACGGATGTGGATATGATGTGCAGTGTATTTTTCTCGCCTATACACTCGCCGGATTTCGCTTCTATGTTATCCAAACACGCCCCGAAGTGCAGGAAGAGGAAGGGGTGTACGGATTTGGCTGATCTGATAAACGACCCATAGACGCGGGGAGAAGCTCAGATTTGCCATGTTAGAAGCGTCTCGCGCTCACAGGTGTATTACGGCGCGTGAGAAATCCAAGCGGACTTAGAGCGTGTGAGGAAGAGCCCGTTTCCCAGAACCCGCGAGCTGCACTTCGTATTCGGAGATCTTCGTAGCACACTCGGCATGAGGGCGGAATCAGATGGTTAATTCTGCGCACTCCTTTGCATGTAAAGCTTTCATAAAACGTTGTACAAGTATATCGTTACATGACCACGCGAGTGGAACATGGATTGTGCCTCCTTTGACAACCCTCAACTCTGCCGCGGGGCAACGAACAAAGGTCCCTGCACGGTGATCTACCCATTCTGCAAGCCGAAGGCGGAGACCATTTTGTTCAGGGCGGTTTCCATGCTTCTAGCGGCCAGAAGCCGGGGTCGCTGGTACCCCGGCACACTCTTCACCGCTCCCCGTGCAAATATATGCACCCGTGGGCGTTGGCCATATAAATGAGTGATGCAGTGATCAACCTTGGGAGACGCGTCTTCTTCTGTCGATATCTCTTGCTTTCCTCTTGAGGAAAAGGTTTCTGTGAGATGAGGTCAATTGTAAGTTTTTTTTAATAATAAATGACCATGAACTCACTGACACCACTGCTTATAGGTAATACCTTAGACACCATAGCGATTTGGGTACAAAATCGATTGTACCTGGAGGCTGTCAGGGTGACAGTAGAGACGGTGGGTGAGTGCTCATACCTTAATGTTTGGGAAGCAAGTTGACTGACTTGTGGTTAGTGGTCGTCGAACCCACCAACCCAGCAGAGATCATCGTAGAGGCGTTGACCACAGGTCACGTCTCTGCGTCACTACCGACCAGGGCCAGGGTGAGAACAACAACAGCCATCCATACCCTTTCGAGGACTCATGCAGCGTGCAGGGCAACACCGCACAGAGAGAGGACGGGGAGATCCTGGGAGACGGGAACACACCAGTCAGCACTGAGTTTGGGAACTGCAATAGCGCTTGGGCTGATTGATCGCTCCTCATGTTTAGGCTGCCGAGGGCTTGGGCAGGGGGAACGCTGCAGGCCAACGATCCGGTAGGTCGACCAACAGACGTCCTCATGCAACTGACACCAGCATATAGGCAATGAAATGGACAGTAGCATCCGGAGCACAGACGAGAGCGACGAGGTGGCAGTTGCGACCATCGACAGCGACATGGTCGATGAGCATGGCACGGAATCATATCCTGCCACCACTGCTGTCGACCATGCTGATGCAAGCCAGTGATGCAAGCCAGGAGGAAAACTAAGTGTCGCCTACAGGTGAGGACTAGAAAGGGGCAGCGGCAGCAACACAGTCAGCGATGGGCTTGTCAGAGGGATATGAGACTTTCAGCCGTTATGGGAGCAGCAAAGAAAAACACATCGAATTAGGATGTTGCAGAACCCTCTGTTCTTCCGGTATACTTTTCAGCAATGTATTGCTATGAGAATGTTGTCTGAACACAGCAGGTCGCCAAGATCTTAGTGTCCATCGAGCCATTACGCCTTCATGGAATCAAGAGAAGCCTCAGCAAACCACCACTTGCGCATTGGGCCGTCTTCCATCTTGCTGTTCTTCTCGCCATCTACGGGTTTGTTGAAGTCCACCCTGCCGACAAAGCTCTTCTTCGCAAGAAACAGAGGGAACCAGAGCTCGTCGTCCGGCCACATATTGTCGAACGGAATGCTAGGCAGGAAAACCGATTCAGCTTGGGCCGCTGGCAGCGTCGAGTGCCACTTGGGCAGCATCTCCTCCGTTCTGACCACTGAGAGCCAGCTCACGGGCGACAATTCAAGGGGCTTACTCTTCTGGTTCTTGTTCCCATTCCTCAATACGATACACATGCACGTCCATCAGCACAGGACTGTTCTCGAACGCAAAGTACATGCGACCGCAAGAGCTAATCTTGATTGCTGTGATATTGGCCTCTTCCTGTATCCATGCGTTTCAGCACAGGACTTCAGCCTTAGCTGGAATTTACGAACAAGTAGTTCACGTTTGGCCGCATCTAACACCGTCTCTCCTGGTTCAACCTTGCCGCCGAATCCATTATACCTCCCAACACCAAAGCCGCGTTTCTTCAAGCCCAAGCATATCTGGATGAGACGTGGAGCAAGCTCATGTCAGAGGTGTGAAAGCGGGGCATCTCTCACGAAGCACACCCACCTTGTTCTCTCCAGTGATGATGGGGAATACGAGTGTATATTGCTTTACGCTCGACGTTGTGAGCCATGGTAGATGGAGTGAGTTGGAAGGCCCTTCTGTGTGGACGGATCCGATACTGCCCGGTGCCAGCAAGGATGCGAATTGATCCATTGAGTGGTTATGGTGGAGGGCGGTGGAGGCCGACGCGTTGTGCGTTGAACTGGTTGGAAAAAGCTCTCTCAGAGAATGTTATAGTAGGACTCTTTATCGTCCGCTACGAAATGAGCGAGGATAGAGAGCGATTCATTTTTCATCAAACCGCTGTTGAAATGTCATGTAATTCAATGGAAGAAATACACCGGAGCTTCGGCCTCTTATAGGAATATTAATTTCAATGCCCTGTAAAAAGGGGCCAATGGTCTCTGCCGTCCTTCTAGGGTCCCGGAGATATCGAGAACTGGAGGTTGCCTTACACGGTCCACCTGAACATCTACTACAACATACCCCCCGCAAGGCCTGCGAGGATCTCCTCGCTCCTTTCACTCTTCCCACATCTTGGTCAACATTATGGCAGGTTCTATTGCTGCTGCACGTCCTCTGCGCGCTGGCTTCTCTCTCGCCGCGCGTGCATCGTCAAAGG